ACTACACTTCTTTTCTCTTAATGTGTTACTTGAAATGTTTAGTATTTAAACTAATTTATTTTACGGATTTGGAGAATAGCATTTAGGTTTTTAAATATAAAATATAAAATTTAATAAAATATTAAATATACATGTAAAATAAATTAAATCACATCAATTTTAAAGAAATTTATGGGCGTAAATTATTTTTAGATTTTTAAAGAATTTTTTTAATGATCATCATTTCTACAAAATTTAAACATTTATTCTTGACTAGATGTGTATAAATAATAATAATAAAAAAAAACATTTCCTAGAATAATAATTTTGGCGTAGTAAACCCTTTTATACAATAATAGTTATTTGCTGATTATGACATCAGTCTTGAAATGTGTTAGAGCTTTCACATAATTCTTTTATGACATTGGATATTGTGTGTCCTATTGTTGCACGACAGTAACATTATTATGGTTGTAAGGCTATGATATAGATATCTATTCAGCGAATAGTATTCATTTTTTAATTTTGTTGATGATATAGTGCTACCCTAACCATAACAAAACATATCTGATTACTTATATTATTGTTCAGCGGAAATAAACATAAGTAATTCCCATAATGCTCTGAATTTTAGCGCTTTATACATTTTTTTATGTAAAATAGCAACCATTATCAGTATTTTCTAAAAAAAAAAAAAACAATTATATTATTAGTATGCAGAGTTATAAAAATTCATTTGTGGGAAGTATCATGGATGTTAGTTTACTTTGACATAATTAAATAATTTAATGTTTTTTATATTATTCTATAATATTTTGATTTATACTTAAAAATAATTTTAAAATTCAGATCAAAGATCGTTTTAAATAGAACTAAACACAATTTTTTAGATTTGGGAAGAAATTTACTGTTAAATTAATTTTTTCAAAAAAATGTTTTTTTAACTTGAACATAAATTGCTGACACTATTCTTAAATAGTTGACTTGGGGGGGGGGTGTTCTACCTTTGTATTACCCATTTGTATAGAGATTCTTGTTTAGCTCAAGTTAATATATTACATTTTCAAAAAAAATATGACTAGATTACTTTTAATTTTCCCTTCTATGGTTGTCTTCAAAGTTTTATTTTATTCTTAAATAAATTTTATAAATATAATCAAATTTTTTCATGCTTACATTATTATAATCGTTATTGAAAATATAATTTTCTTAACTTTTCATTAACTTAATGACCATTTTTCTTAATTTAATAAAATGATTACAACATTACTTTGTTTTAGGATCAACTGACTGTACTCTTCCGTGGTTAGCCAAAAATAATCCCTTGTTTTCATCAGTTGAATCTGCTCTGACCAATAGATGTCCTCCTTTAATTGGAGATCAAAGCAAAGAATATTGCTGTTATAACACAGATGGACAAGTTGAATGTTGTGACTTACCAGGATTTTTATTATTTGGGTTTGTATTATTTGATTTGTATTCATACTAATACATAAAAGAATAATTATTTTGTTTTATAGATTGATTATGCTTCTACCTATTATTATACTTTTCTTGATACTATCTGCAGTTATTAGTTGTATTTGCTGTTTCTGTTGCTCATGTTGTAAATAGTAGGTAAGGTCAATTACATTAAAATTAATTGTTTACTGTAGAATTTTTTTCTAAACTAATATTTTATTTTTATATTTCAGAATCTAGTGTATCTTTTTTTATTTCGGATGCCACTAATAAAAGTTGATCAATATTCTATTTTTGTTTTGCATATTATAATTAATAATAAATATTTATTTACATATAAGAAATAACTATAATTAGTATGTAATAAGTCTACTGTATATCTGAAACATTGTTAACTTAAGGTAATATTTAAGTTCAATTTTTTATTTTATTCTTTTTTCTTAGTATAAAATGTATTTTCTTTTGTAAAATAATTTTTATTGTGAAATTTTTTACACTAATGAACTTTTATATTTAAATCATTTTTATTACGCCAACTAAGCCATAACTATCTTCAGATAATAAAATTCAGAATAATATGAGGTACAAATTTTTATTTCTATATTATAGTGTGACATGTTGTACCATTGTAATTTTAGAGCCAAATATAAAATTTTGATACTCCCTACATTAATCTGTTTGCTCATTTTTCCACAAATTCTAAAAAAAAATTAAATTATTATTATTTATTTAGGACCTATCTCCAATGGCTTCCTTATTTCTTTAAACCTAATTCTAATATTCATTTCCTATCTTTGCATAGTGCTTAATAATTGTTCTAATTTAATCTGATAGGTGGTTAGTTTTAAAACTATTTATAACTTTTAGGGTATAAATAGAATAAAAAAAATTTATCAGATGGTGTTATTAAATGTTAAATTTAAGTAGCAAGAAATAAACTCAAAACCTTATAAAAAAAACAGTGATATTGTTGAACAAAAAAGTTCTAATAACATTAATAAATAACCTGAAAATGGTAAAATTAAACTGCCTTATTACAAATCGTATCAAATTATATTATGATTATAATAATTTTTACAAAATTTTATGTTATGTTATGTCAGTTAAATAACTGAATTAATTCATGATATAGTTAAACATGTTAAATTTGTATACTAAATTATATGCCATATATTTTATCACATGTTATTTTGTTATATTAGTCAGATAACCAGTTCTAAAATATCATCTTTAAATAAATGTGTAATTCTTAATACATTTGAAATAAAAAACATGTTACTAAAGGACAAATCATTAAATTGGCTGTAAAATATTTTCAACTATTTTGTACATAAAAACTTGTAATGAAGCATAATAACTAATGAAAAAATTTGTTGTGAATTGTTCAGCCATGACCTTGAAAACCTACATCACATAGTTGACCATGATCTCATCATAGTTAGGTAAGTCCTAGTAGATACAGAACTGAAAGTACTATTCAGTTCATTCATTATTTATTAGTGTAAAGATATAACTTCAAATTAATATAAAACCATAATACTTGAGAAAAAAATTATTTAAAATAAGATATGTCATTTGAAAATTAAAGTTACAGAGAAAAATGAATGTGATAAATAAAAAACATCACATTTAAGAATCTATCATTAATTTTTCTTGAACTTATCTTGAATCATTATTTTAATGATGATTGTTAGTATTCCAATTGTTGACTATTATTTTATAAATTTATGATATTAAAAAAAATAATCAGTTTAGAAAGATTAATTCATTATTATTGATTAAACAAATATATTTTTGGTAGGGTTCGTCAACTATATATTTTTGAATATCAAGATTATACCTAATTTCAGCAACATTAAAAAAAAATTTATTTTAATATTTAAATGTTTCCACCATTTTTTTTTTCAAGAATATCGATTAGTTACCATTGTGAAAATCAGACTATGGTATACCAACCAAATCAGATCAATCTCAAAACAATCGAATATTTTCAAATTACTTTTTATTATGAAGAAATAAGTTTTTTTTTGTTGCAAAACTATTATTATAAATTGGTTATATTGAATGCCTTAATTTATGTTTTTTTTTAATAATATTATTATAGTTTGTGTTTAAAAAAAGTTATAAGAGTGTTGTTTATATTTTTTTATTGCTTTGAATCATAACTAAAAACAATTTTTTTTCTTTTCAAAAATAAAATTTAAACTTTTACAAAATAAAACATCACCATTTTCATCACTATCATCTAATAGGGGTTTTTTTTTTTGACTTAATAATTTCATATTATTTTTCAAATTAAGTTTTAACTAGTTGTTGCTGTATATCTTCTAATTTTAAAATTTCTTTCTCTAATTCTCCTCAAACATTACTACTTTGTTTGTGTTTTGTTAAAAATAGGAATAACAACAATGTTATGATAAAAAACCTAATCTATGAATATAATTTTGTATCAATAAATATCATTTTTCGTTTTATCTCAATTCTATAGTTTAATACAAAAAATATTAACAAGATTATCATGAACTATTTTTGGACTAATATCAAATCGTATATATTTTATAACAAACTAACAAAAATTTAAACAATTTTTTTTTTGATTATCGTGATATTTAAAAAAATGTTGACGATCCCTAATATTATGTATATAAATACGTCATTTTACACAGACACTCAAATAATTTTTGCTTATAATAGGTAGAAGTATAATCTTCACGCCATTCAATAATACTTTATGAAAAATGTTTCAAGCGATAGGTACTTAAATACTAAAAAATATATCAATTTAGTTCTTTGACACAACAAAAATTTAAATCATTAATTTACGCTTAAGCGTACAAAATTGATGATTAATTATTAACGGTATTTATCTATATTGACCAACAAGTCAATTTTTTTTAATTAATTATTTAGGTTAACATAAAAATTGTTTAGTTGAGTTAGTAGGTGTTTTCATTGTACTTCGTCGAACATTTTTAAATATCATACTTCATAAAAAATTAAAAGATAGATCTTTGAATTTTTGTGAATATTATAAATTGAGTTAATTAACGATAGTTATTTAAAATTAAAACTATATTAAAAAAAACCCAGCACAGTGGGGGGGATGTGGCATAGTTGGGTCAAGTATAATGATATCTGATAGTGATTAAAATCAATATGATAAAAAACGCTTCGATGCAAATCTATAGTGTTTAATTTTAAAAAATTGGTGGATTATTCAAAAAGCTACATGATCTCCTATTTCCTTATTTATATCCTGATTACAAGGTTTATGATTTATAAGTGTAATATATGAATAAATATTTATATTTATATATATAAATGGAAATGGTGTTATTTAAAAAAAAAAGTATATTGTATGAAAGAGAGAGGTATATAAATAATATTTCTCATGAAAAAGTCGTATTGATCTATACATTTTTCAAAAAGTTATAGCATAATAATAAAGTTAAAAATGTAAAATATAAAATCAAAAATTTTCACACAAAAATAACATTTGGTAGCCATTTTTACCGTGAAGACAAAATAAAGTCCGAAATTATATATAAAAGTGTCAGACTTTCTAAAACACTTTCAAAAGTTAATTTTTTGTGAAAAAGTTGTTATAGATATATTAAATTAAAGCTAAGTTAATATACTTTATTATGGTAGAAAAAAAATTCGGTCTTTATTTTGTCTTCACGGTGACTATGAGAATTATATCTTATTATTGTCCTGTGAAACTTAAAACCCTAAAAAGTTTTTTTATTATAATTACAATATATATTTATATTACCAATGATTATCAATTTCTAACTTACAAATAGAGGTCACGGTGATGGGATCATCGATTTTCAAAAAAGTTATAGGAATCTAATCTAAATCGGATATATTGCTGCACTAACTTTGAATTTTTTCAAATGAGAAAAATTACTTTGAAAATTAAACCTACCTTAAATAGCCTTTTTTTATTATTCAAAGTCGTTGAAAACTGTGGGTCTGTTTGTGACGCGTGTGTCTCTAGCATTCGGAATATAAGGTTTGTTCCTGACTTTTTGCATTTTTTAATATATTCATAGAACATCTTGCAAAATATTTTATTTTATAATATTTTAGAGTTATACTTTTAAAATATTGTGAGAATGTAATTCGCTGCCAAAGTATATTCTGAGAATATTTTTATATATTCTAGAAATTTATAAAAAAAATTATTATAAAATATTATTTTATACATATTATTAAATTATAATTTAGTATTAAAAAAATATTAAATATTTAAAAAACACAATCTGATAAAAATAAATTTACTTAAAAATATCTCATTTTTAATTTAATTTTCATTCGACATACAGGTTAATTAAATTTAAAGAATTAGCGGATTATTCAATAAAATAAAAATAATATTAACATTTTTTATTATTTTGATTCTTTAGAACATATTTTTCTCAAATTATTAATCGTGAAGTATATTTATGTTCATCCCTTATATTATACAAAAGTGCCAACTTTAATTTTTCAAATTGCAGCTTACATAATCCACTAGTTTAATTATTAGATAATCTAATTATGTGGATAAAAATTAGTGGAAATTTATTTATTATGATAGAAAAAAAATATTTTTAACCTAAGATAAACCGTTTTATATTATATATTATAAATATAACAAGTAATCTTGAGTCGTTTATAAAAATGTCAACAATGTAATTTTATTATTTCCAGTGTCCAGATTATATTTTAGATTATCTAATAATTATATCATTATTTTTGTTTTTTTTTTACTAAAAATAGAATCAAATTTTATATTTTAATAACTATTTAAAGAGTTACAAAATCATTATGTATATTGTGATTAATTGAATCGCATTAATTTAGAACAAATTTTACTTAATTAGAACTTTTAATGGTTTTCTATTTGTATTGGTATTGGAGGCTCTTCATCTATTTTTTTAAGATCCAATTCTATATTCATAAAAAAGGTATAAAAACATTAAAATTATATTTTAATTAAATTTTTTTTCTTATATACCTATTTCAAATGATTTGTATGATATTGGTATAAACGTTTCTTCAAGGAATGGATCATATTTAAATCCAAGTTGAAAATACTTCTCTACAATTATTGTCTTAATATAATTCTTAATTTGTCCTTTTAAGAATTTGAAAAACCCTAATTTTATGTTTTTATTAATAATGGCATTATATTCTATGTTCCATTCCTTCCATAAAGAACTCGTATTAAAAGTTACAAATTCACAATATAATACAGTGTCATTATATAATTTTCCCCCTATTTTTTGATAAAATTCTTCTATAGTATTCAATGTCCAAAGGTATGAAGATATATTATTACGTGATAAAGTTCGTTCGTTTAAATTGTCAAGAATATTTCCAATTTTTCCTAAATTAGGACTTATTTTGTAGATATTTTTATAATATGCCATAGGTATTTCATGTAGTAAATCCAGAGCATCCATAGCGTCTTTCAACAATGTAGCCAGTGGAGAAATTAATAAGGATATTATATTTACGAGTTGTTCAGTGCAAATACATCCCTTTTTAATATCATTTTCTTCAACAAATTTTTTCCGACACACTTTTAGGACATTGATAATAACTAATAATAGATCATTCATAACTTTAGAGTATGTACATCCAAGATATATAGTCAAAGCTCTTATTTTTTGACCACCTTTAGTACGTTTTGTAGGTATTTTAATCAATTTTTGAAGATAATATACTTTTCTATAATATGTTATGGAGATCAAATCATTTAAATTTTTCCATCCCGAATACCTTAACATCTTATCTAACTGATCTACTGTTTCTCTTAATGTCGTCTTTGAATTTGTATACATCATCACAGAAAATAATACAAAACTAAACGTGTAAAGTTTTAATAAAAACATTTGGAAAATTCTTAATTTTATGTATGACAAAATTTTTTTAATTTAAATATAATACAAAAAGTTTCAGTTGACCCGTATATATTCTATGCAACATTTATAAATAATAAGATAAATATTTGTAATAAAACATATGTCGTGTTTTAATATAATTTTCTACCATGTTTTTAAGTTTAAAAATATATTACTAACATTTGTATGACATTTTTTTTTTTAAATAAAGTCTAAAAAAACAATAAATATATAATTAAAACAGTTTTCAAAAATAATTCAAAATTGATGTTTTAACATTTTTATACTCATCGCTATAATTAATATTTATTTATTTTTATTTTTTTTTATAGTTCATAGATCAATGCAAAGTTAATTTAGTAAATTTTACTGTGAATTATCTTTATGTCTGTCGCCATATTTACTCAGCACTCACGGGACTGATTTTTTTCAGTAATACGTCGAAAAATTACAATTCGACTCTATTTAAAGAAAATGTCCTTCAAAATTAAAAATTTCCCTCGTTTTTTAATGAATTTTAAAATTTGTAAAAAAAAATGTAGAAAATGTATTTTTATCATTTTTAGTGTTATTTTTAACACTTTTTATAATTAACTCTTTTTTTTTTTTTAATAAAATTACATTATTATATTTTAATAATTATTTGGGGATTTACAAAATTGTTATGAGTATTGTAATTAATTAAAAAACATTAATGTAGAATAAAATTAATTTTATTATAATATCATCTGGTGCCTTAATTAATGATTTAGTATATAAGAAATTCAATTTTGTAAGGTGACTTTTAACCTACGATATTCCTAAATTTTTATCTAGACGACAGGAGAAAAATGACTAATGACAAAAATATCATTGTTTGCGCTTCATCTCTAGTCTATATATTCAATTACTTAAAACTTATAAATTCTTAATATATTGTGAGAATGTCATATTTGCTGCCAAAATATATTCTAAAAACATTATGGAAATATTAAAAATTATTCTGGTTATATTTTAGAGATTTTTTAGTATCTAAACAACTTTAATGCTCATATCATTTAAAAAAATGAAGAGAAAAAAAATTAAGGGGTTCTCTCAGAGAGTAATAGGATTTGATATATTAAACTACAGAATTCCTAAATGTAGCCTTCTAAGTATATTTTATGCTTAAAGGTATTAATTTAAACATGTTTACTTTATTATGATATTTGTATTGTCTAACAAGTTTTTTGCTTAATTAAATATCAACGGTTGAATAAATGAAAACCTTAAGAGAGAACGAAAGTTAGACAAACATTATTTTTGTCTTATTATTAACAATTAAATTGTAATTCTAAAGTTTTAATTCATATATTCTAAATAATAATGTACCCGACATTTTAAATAGAAAAAGATAATAATTAACAAAATTGTTTTCTTTATGACTTTTTCTTTCTAAATTCTTATTCGTGTTATAAGTTTTTAGTTTTTTTTTTAGTTTTTAAGTGAACTAATATCTTTATCATTAGTATAACCACCCTTAGATGTACTATTAACTCCAAATAAACCTATTTATTCTAAAAGTAGAATGTTATTTACGAAAAAATTAAAATCCTGTGTTTTACTATTCAAAAGTGAATTACGATTTTTAAAGACAAAAATAATTTTCTTATAACACAAACTGCATTTTTAAAAAAAAATTGTTTATTTTTACAGATATTTACATGGCTACTGTCTGTAATTTTGACGGTTTTTGGACAAGTATATGTTAATTCTTATATTCCATTCAAGCCTATTCCTTATGGCTATCAATATTACCAACCATCCACATCTGAAATCATCATACCACCAGCTAAACGATATCTTACCGGTTATGATGTAATCAATAACTATGAACCTGTTGAAAAACACGAATATAAATATTCATATTAAGTTTGATTTTTTAGTGTGGAATAAAAGCAACAAAGGTTAAAATAGCGACAAACTAATTTTCTAGTTAAATATCTGTCACTGTAAAAATGTAATTTTGTTTGTTAATTTAACTTGAAATTTTAATACTCAAGTTAAAAGATCGTATAAAATTTTTTAGGCCATTGTTGTGATAATAAAATGGTGCATATTGGTATTATATTTTTATCGTGAAAATGTTCATACAGCTGTCTTTAAGATTATCTAATTTATAAAAAAATATGATTGTTAAACTATGTATTATAGGGTACGTGGGACTTAATTATATTAATTATGTTTGTATATTACATATAACATTAATGGAAAAATAAGATTTATTTAATATTTAGTGTAAATTTTAAGCATTATTTACATTTTGTAAAACTGAAAATAAAAATTGAATGATTTTATTTAAATATAAGGTTTTTTTATTACTTTTCAAATAGCAATCAACTATTTAATAATAAAAGTTAAAACTACCTAATTAATAATAAAATGAATATTAGTCATTTTAAATCCCTCCCTGTGGGCAGGTAAAGGGTCAGATTTCTGAAAAAAATATACTAAAAGATAAGTAAAGACACCATGCATCTATAAAAAAAATTATATTGATTTGGTAATTTTTAAAAAAGTTATGGCAGTTTTAAATAAAAAAAATTGAAAAAATGTCGAAAATTAGCAATTGTTTAATTTGTAATTTTTTTGGATATTTTCCCCATTTACGGGGAACGAGAGAACTTTTTTAAATTTTTGAGGGTAATGTCTTCGACTAGTTACGATTTGTGATCTTTTGACGTATCGTTGAAAGATATCAGTTCTGTGAGAGCTGAAAAAAAGTGGTAACAGACAGAAAAAAAACATATCATAGTAAAACTAATACCTTCTCAGCTTCGCATCGAAGCTTATAATAATTTAAAACTAAAAATATTTAACTTAAAAAGTCACAAAAAAATTACTAAAAAATCAACGATAAACGCAATTATATAATATCTATTTTGTTACTATTTGTAATTTTTTTTTTTTTTCTTAAACTGTACTTTTAAAAATGTTTGACAATTAAAAAAGGTTTTGTTTACCTTTAGATTTTATTAAATAGGCATTTATGTCTTCGTTATACACATTTAATTTATAAATTTTACATTTTATTATTGAAATAATATGAGTACAACTTTGGGTATATACTATTTTATAAATTACTTTAACAAATAATGATGTTGAAATACTGTCTTATTAGTCATTGTAAATTGACACACTTTAATTGTAATACAAGATCTAAAACTTATCAATTAAGTTGTATTACATATTTTTAATTGTCTTTAAATATTTAATTTTTACTCTAAATACCATTTATTTAAATTATACAGAGAATTATATAAATTGAAGTCTTTGTTTACAAACTCTTGAAAAGTTGAAAAAATTACTATTGTTAGAGTATGTATTAAGTTGTTTTTTTTAAGATAGTTATTTAAAAATAAAATTATTATTATATTTTTATTTTACTATATTAGTAGAAAATTTCCATGTGTTGAGTTAACATGAAGGATTTCGTGCTACAGTGTAATCTGTTTGGAATGTAATAGAGTGTAACATAGGTCCCTAAGTATAATTATATTATTTCAATATAATTCTGATAAGATGTAATTTTAATGAGATTTATTTAGCATGCAAGAAAGGTAGTTCTGACTTGAAATTTAGGCTTTATGCACTAAACAAAATATCTCTCTCACTATATTTCTTAGAAAAATAGCAGCTATGAACCTCAAAAATTCTGGGAAAAAAATTTGTAGTACGAACTGAAAATATAGTTTTTGAAGTGTTCTTCTCTTTAAAATGCTCTTTAGTTACAACACTTTTTATTTATTAAAAACAATTCAATTTCATGTCCAAATGTATAAATATAGGATTGCAATTAGTTTGCTTTTATTCGTTCAAAATAAGTTAATTCAAAAGTATACGAGATATGTTAATGAATAGATTAAAGCATATTTAATTAATTTATAAGATTTTTTTCTTAAAAGTCCTAATAGTATAACAAATTAATTAAATTACCTCTTTTTATTCAATACTTTCACTTAATTAAAAAAAAATATATGTTTACTTTCTTTGATAGTACATTAATACTTAATATTAATATCAATTCTAATCGACAGTGCAATCAAAAAATATAAATTATAGTAATTTATAGTAGAATGGCAGGTATGAGTTGTTGCCCATCATTTTTTTAAACACAGTAGTGTATTTAGAGGAAATTCAGGGGAGTACAACCCTACTCACCAATGACATAAATGTCTAACGCATATGATTTTATTCTATAGATTAAAAATATTAGGAAGGCTAATGATGTATTTTAATATTTTCTCCCAATCCTATAATATGTATTTATATAGCAATACTTGTAATTTTCAAAATTTTTGTGAGACTAAGACTCCATAAGACTATATATTTTTGTTAATACATACATACATACAAGTGAAACTAATATAAGCATGTTAAAAAGCCTAATAAAATATATTATTTTAAGAAAAATCGAATGGCTAGGAATAAAAAAATCACTCTACATTAATGACTTTCTTTTTTTAAGTGTATTTTAAATATTTAATTTATTTTAGAATAGTTTCATGTTGAACTTATCGATGTAAATTCATAACCTAAATAATAACCAAAATTTTAAATTTAATCTTCTGAATTTTTAGGATTAATAGTTTTTTTCATATTAATTACTCCCAATAACTCTTAAATCCTTATACCCGACAATAATGAAGCTAAGTCTAATATTTTCAAATAACGGGTATACATTTTAGTGAATTTAAGTAAAATTCAGAATTTAAACTATGAAAAAATTTTACTTTTACTCTTTCTATTGAATATCACACCCTAAATACATTTTTTTAAAGAAATTGTCTTATCAAACTATCAAATGATTTAATAAAAACCTCCAAATGCCAAATAGACATTTTGTAATGTTTTTTTGAAACAGAGATAAGATAATAAGCTAATAATTGTTTAAGTTCATTAATTTACAAAATAAGTATTTCACAACATAAAATAATATATGAAACACATGTTTTCATTTTGAAAAAATAATTTATTGTTTTTAATTGTTGTCTAATATTAATTAAGTTTTTCTGTTTCTTTATAGTTTAAGAAATAAATTATTAATTTCTAATATTAATAATATTTTAAGTAAATAATTTGGTACATTTTACAAAATAAAACCAATATACAAAAAGGAATATCAAATCATTAAAAATACTATAAAAATTAAATCTTAGAAAAATGTTTAATACAATATAATTGTTAATGTAATAATACATTTTGAACTAGTCATACATACAACAAAATATCATATGTATATATAAAATAATATGCAATTATGGTCAATGTTATTCAACTGCAACTAAGAAGAATCACTGTCCTGAAACAAAAATATAAAAATAAATTTATAATATGTATACTTAAATATAGATCAAAAGTATTTTTAAATGTTTGAATAAGTTTTTGAAAATTATCAATTTAAATTCTAAAAAATAATTTTTGGGGATATATATAGTGTTGTTAAGTGTTAAATGTAAAGTATTTAAGTAAAAATAATCACTAATAACTATTGTTTTAAATATAAAACCAAAATTTAAAATTTAATGAACAAAATAAAATAAAATAACATTTGAAAAAAAATTTGCTTTGGTTGAAAACCATGTTTTAATTTTAAATTTATACTTAAAACATATAGCTTCTTGGTTATAAGAAAAAAAATTGATGATTATTTTAAATAATTCTCATTTTTACTACAAATTTTGTAATTTTAAATAATTCTGGTAAAAAAAATTGAATACCGTAGGATCACATTCAGCACAATGCCATGAGTACCCTCTCACTTTAGGAGATTTTTTTACTGGGGGGTCTAGACAACAAAAATGAAAGTTTTTACTACACTCATCACATCTATAATAAAAAATTAAAATAAATCATTATTTAATATAATTTATGATTCTATTGATTTTGAAACATACTGGACCATGGTAGCACTCGTACCAATTATTTTACAATTATTACATTTTGGTGTAACTTTTACGTCATTTGATGTAGTAGTTATTCTAAGAGGTTCAACACTCTTTTCTTGTTTAAGTTTTGTAACATGAGATGTATCATCGATTGGTGATGCAATAAGCAGTTGAGATGATGTAGTTTTAACTCCGCTGGCACTTGGTACAGATTTAATCTAGTAATTATTAGATATGAATTATTGAACACAATAAACTTATTTAGAAAAATTACATACAAATAACTTAATTCCTTGTCTAGGCGGTTCAGAAATTGGACCATTGAAAGGTTCTGATTCTTGAATAATATTATTTTCTCTATGATGCTTATGTTTTCGCTTTCTAGATTTTACACGTTTTGTAATCATCTCTGGAGAATATCGTTCTCTGTGTCTCTCATGGTGTTTCTTTTTTTCTAAAAATTATAAAATAATATTTAAATTTAAAATTTAGAATAAAAATTGATATGATAATTAAGTCTTTTAATCTCACTTTGAGTACCACTAGGTTTAATTAATTCACTAAAGTTGCCAATATCCTAAAATTATTAATTTCAATCAATTTTTAAATTTTATTTTGTTAACAAATATTTTTTAAATTTACAGGCTTAAAATTAAGCTGTAACTTATTCTAATAAATAACATACTTCATGTACTAATGAGGAAGACCTATGACTACCCGATATTGATCTTTCTCTACCACCATACCTCAATCTTCTAGGAGCATTAGGATCAACAGAATCTGGCTCAGAATTTGAATTGCTATTATCACATTCACTACATTGCCTATTCAGCACATGATTATATTAAAAGTTTTAAAAATATTAATTGGTTATAAGTTAATAAAATACCATCCAAACAGTTTTGTTTTTTTAGGCATTCTTGTTAATGGTGGATTTAAACATCCCAAATGGTAATACAAGAAGCATGTATCACATTTTGCAAGTAAATGCTGGTCATTACTGCGAGCACAAATACCACATTTGTTATTTAATCCCAGAGGAATTTCATTGTCTACGAAAAAAAAAAAAAATTCTACATTATAGGAAAAAAATAAAAATAATATTTTCTCTTATAAGAGATAAATAATAAAAAGTGTATTTTTAATGTAGTCCATAAAACATTAAAAAAAAAGTAACACAAAATATTTGTTGGATCATAAGTTATTTATGATGTCATGTATGTAAATAATGTTATAAGATAGGGATGGGCAACTTAAAGTTACTAGAGGGCCAATTTTTAAAAAATTAAAATCTAGCGGGCCAGAGCATAGAAGGCAAAAAAAAAAGGTCATTCAAAATGTACATTTTAATTAGCATTTTTTTGTTTATAATGTAATAATACAAAAAGGGTTATTAAAATAATTTAATTAAATATAAATAGATATTTGTTTAGTTTGAGTTTTGAGCATGTGTAGCTTCTAGTGACAACGCGGCAAAATCGACTTCTATCTCGAACGAAGAAACACAAAGTAGGTGACTTAATGTTTCATCTGTAATTTGATTTCTATGTTTTGATTTAATATGTTTCATGTTTGAAATGTACATTCACAAATGTAAGTAGTCCCAAACATGGATAACATTTTTAATGCGAACTCTCGTAAAAGTGGATATTTTAGAATAGGTAATTTTTTCCAAAAGCTTATGTCAATCTCTTTTGTAGATAAACTTTAAAATTGTATGTTGCAATTTGAAAATGTAGCGCGGGCCAGATAAAAATGGCTCGCGGGCCGCCAGTTGCCCAACCCTGTTATAAGATGTAAAAACTTGGTGGACACACACACACACGCATGTGTGTGTGTTTAGTAGTGTATTTATAATATTTAAAAAAGATTGTGCACTTAAAAGTTGATTTTTGCAAAAATATCAAGTATAGTATCGCTTTAAAAAAAAATAGTAACTCCGATATGGTCAATATTTGATTTTTGTTCATATTGATACTCATCTCTAACTAAATTAGTTATAGCTAATTGGGAAAAATTGGTATGTATGACATTTTAAAGTAAATATTATGTTTTAAAATAATACACAGCTATTAAAGCATTGTTGTTAAAAATTTAACTACCACTAGCACAAACTTTCTAATAAAATAATTCTACCTCATTTCAGTTTTTAAGTTAGGAAATTAATTCAATATTGACAATAGTAATAAAGTAAAAATAATAATTTTATCATAGAAGATTTATAATTTTAAGAAAATAAACTAACCTGCAGGATAACAATCTAATTTTTGGTCATTAAAAAGCATGTTTATATCAGGTAATTTAATACCAGGATTACCAAAGTGTAAGATATCATGGTAAGCTGAAATACAATTTTTAAGTTCTGAATGTCTTCTCTTCTGTTTTTCATTAAGTTCTGATACCTTAGATACATAAAAATTATTCATTATGAAATAGTAAAAATATTAATTGTTAAATAATACTTCTTTATATTTTTCTTCTACAACTGATTGCTCATTATGAAGTTTCATGTTTTGTTCAGTGAAATATTTTAGTTGTTTTTTTAATTCTCCTAATCGAAGGTTTCTGTCCAAAAAATAGCTCACAAATTCTAAACTAAAATTAAAATACAAATACTTAGTTATTCTAAAAATTAACAAAGCTCTTTTTAATTTATTTTTGGTAATATCATGTATCAGTATTAAAAAAAAAATAATAATAAAAATATGTCTACTAATATCTTTATAAATTAATTTTTTTACTCAGTGGTTATGCAACTAATCAAAATAAAATTTCTAAAAGAGAACATTAACATTTTAACTTATTTTTAAAAATAATAACCTGAATGTTGGAGGTATATGCCATTTCTTTGGAACATCACGAAGTGCTTTGATGTGACCTTCAATTGCTTCATAAGAACTTAAATTCACACCCATTAAACTAGCTTTTAACCAAAGAGCTCTACATGCTGAAGCTGATGTTGTTATAGATCGTGGTATTTTTGGTTTTACTACTAGAGGAACAAAAATAATTTATTTGAAATAAAATAAGTTTCATCAATTTTAACAATTTAACTCTATTAATGTACTTAATAAATGTAGAAGTTAATAAATTTGTTACTTAAATCTTTTTTAAATTGATAAGTCACTACAGTAAATATATTTTACAATTTTATATTATCATGTTACGATTATCTACAGAAATAAATATTTTTCCAGCCCTCTTTTATTCAGTATTCCTAAAAATGTCATCAGATCTTCTATTACAAGAGTGTTAACATACTATATAAGTAGATAAATTTGTACAGTTTATTAAAAACTTTTGGAATAAGTAAATGAAATCAAAAGATATAAATATAAATAACGAAATATTTACTAATTTCTGGTTTATAAATGTTTTTCTGTTGATAGTATTTAGAACGTAATTTTTCTAGACGTCTTTGATTTCGTAACCACGTTCCTGACTTTTCAATTGCTTGTTCTTCTCTTAGGAGTTTCATTTGTTTAGTACGTAATTGAAGTGCTTCCCAATTTCTTTTTCTTTTTCTAATAGAAAAATATGGTACACATAATAAAGATATTTAGGAAAATAATAATTTTTAGAAAAAAAAAATACTGACTTAGCTATGAGTTTGTCAACATGCAATTTACAATGAGCATAAAATGGGTCCGATTGATCTGTGTCTGGACTGGTAGCTTCTGATAAAAAACCTTCTCGCTGTGCACTGAAAGTAGAGCATAGAAATTCTAATCATTTAATTAAGTACAATATATTTTAAGTAATTCATACCAAGTAACATGAAAATTTGATCGACATAATCCAGCATCACAAGCTATTGTGACACCCGTACACATAAATCTCATATCTTTACACAAAGTACAACTTTTAGCACCCCATCTTGGAGAAGTATTTGGAAACAATATAACTTTACTAAGACTAGTAACTTCACCAAATGTAATACCATGTATATACAGAGCACAAACTAAGTGCACCCATTTTCCACTGTCCGTTTCCTTAAATATACCACCTACGATAAAATATTTAAAATTTTTAATGGTACATTAATAAATTTTTATATCCTCAACATAACTTCCTAGGATTGATGGTTGGTGATCAAAATAAATGGAAATCATGCATAAAAATAGGCACAGTACTAAAATAGAACCCACAAGCCAAGGTGTTGTAGAGAAAACCTTAACATAAGATCACTGCGTACTTATTATTCAGACACAAACTGCATCATTATTTTGAATGCTTAATATAGGTTGATTAATAATAACTTACCAAAATTGGGACACAGTTCACAAGTAGGGTTATCAACACCTGCCTTACATGCTTCACAAAACCAAGGTTCCATGGAACATGAAGATACTGATGAACTAATACTTCCAGAGTCATGCACACCATAGCAACCTGATCACCGATTTTATATCATTAACATAATTTATATCATAAAGAGAATAATATATTTCAGTGATGGGAAATATAGAAAAGTAATTATCAAACTATTCAACATATATTAAAGAAATATTCGATAGTTACCTAATATATTCAAATAGTTTTTTGAATATTTGATAGTTTATGCCTAAAATATACTATTCGGTTGTTTAAAAGCAATACAAATAGTTATTTGATAGTTTAAAATATTCGAAAATTACCATCACTAATATATCTATAATAATTTGAATATTAAATACTATTGGACAATTTACCTTCATGAACTGATATTCCACAGTCATCACAATCAATAAGTTCATTAACATCATCACTAGCATCCCCTAAACAAATACTGCATATATGTATTTTATCCACAATTTCTTTTAAATTAACCTATAAAATATTTATCAAAATTATATTACTTCATCAACTATTTCTAAGTTTGAAACAAAAGAAAATTTGAAATACTTTTTTGGAATTATACTGAATAGTAGTAACTTCATTTGAAGTATTAATTGTTGATTCATTATTTTCACCAGAAATATTATCATTATCATCATCACCATCTTCATCATCATCATTTTCACCTAAAAGTTATATAATTAAATTGTTTATGCAAAAGGATTAAAAAAAAAAATTAAACCAAACCATCAGAAAAATCAGAGGCCACATCAGAATCAGATCCACTATTTATAACATGATCTTCTATTCGAAAATCACTATCAGATGAACTTTCACCAGCTATATCATCTAAATTAACTAATTCTGGATTAGATGGAGGTTTCACTTTTCTTTTGTTGGGATCACGTTCCACTAAAATTAAACATTTATTAAGCAATTAATAAAAAAAAAATTTTTTTTAACACTTATGACGCTATACTTGGTCAGGGGTAGCAATAAGGAAGTTCAACTCAGCCACTGCTTCATGATCTTGTCAAAAAAATTAATTAAAAAACAGTTTTTTAGTTTGTTGATTGTATATGGGTCCTGTTAAAATTTGTTCAGGGTCATTTTTCAAATCATAATGACCTAAACTTGGGTAATCTTTGTCAGGTAAATTAACAAAATATTATTTTAAGTATATTTTAGTGTTTCAACTTTATATTATTGTATTAATAAAATTTTTTTTTTGTAAAAATTAAAAAAAAAATTATTAAATTAATTACTTTCAAATTGATTTTTAAATAATTCTAATCAAAAACTTTAAAGAAAATTTAACGTTTTTTAATTAAAATATAATTTGATACATTAAAAACAAATAATTGGGTTACACAATGAAAATGAAAATTGTCATTTTATTTATAACAGCTAATTTTAAGACAAAATAAAAAAAGCCGGTTAGAGATTTCAGTACGTTATTTTATAGATCTAATACACTATCTAAAGAGTGGGGAAGGGACAGTGTGAACGATAGTTATATAGTAAGGCAAAACTTATCATATTTTTAATACTTACTTTCATGAAGTACAAAAGTTAAAAAAAAAAACAAAGAAAAAACAAATAGTGTGAATCAACTAGTTTGTTTGTTATTTTATAATTTAAATTACATCGTTATTCTTAATGAATAACGTCAAATTATAAATTATTGATACAATATATAAAAAATTTCTATCTCGTTATACATTATGTCCATCACCAATCACCATTCACCATCATTCATTAATCAGCAAACAACTATGAAGAAACGCCGATACAGTATGACCACATAGATGATAGTTTTATAAGAAAATAATTTATATTTACATATAATAATGTACTTTAAACAATTATTGTTTAAAGTATTGAATTGTATATTAGGGTATAATTTAAGGATTTTTATCGGCTACACGAACAATTTCTAAATTTCTAAACTAGCTAATGCGAGTGCACCATCTTTCACTCCCTAACTATTTGATTATTTTACACTACATTAATTATTTTTTAACCTGACCATGATTATATATCATTGATAAATAAATTAAGCTATCATATAAACCTAAGAGTTATTTAAAAAAAATTTTTTTCATATTAATATTAAATTATAATAAAACTTTTACAATCACAATATAAATCATTTGTTAAATTAGTATAGACACATTATATTATAATTTGATAGAACTAATAAAAATTTGATTTCTATCATTCAATTTTTAATATTTTAAAAATATGAAACTGATCATACTCAAAAAATAAAAGATAAATTTTTTTTAATAAACCATACGATGGAATTATCATTTAAATGATAATTTTCTAAGAAAATATATTACCTGGCTACAAATAACTCGGCACAATCGGGGAGTCTAGATCGGGCTTAGTTCTTACAATTCTCTCAAAATTACTACAATTACGTGTAAATTTATATAGTAATATTTTTAAGGAATGAACAATTAAGTTAGATCCCTCAAAATATTTTGTTCAAATTACGCCTCTTAAATAATTGTTTTTTTTTTGTGTTCAAACTTTGAACAGCGTGTTCAAAGTTTCATAATAGCGTATTATGATGATTTCATGGAAAAAAATTCACTCAGCACTAATTGNAAAATTTGATTTCTATCATTCAATTTTTAATATTTTAAAAATATGAAACTGATCATACTCAAAAAATAAAAGATAAATTTTTTTTAATAAACCATACGATGGAATTATCATTTAAATGATAATTTTCTAAGAAAATATATTACCTGGCTACAAATAACTCGGCACAATCGGGGAGTCTAGATCGGGCTTAGTTCTTACAATTCTCTCAAAATTACTACAATTACGTGTAAATTTATATAGTAATATTTTTAAGGAATGAACAATTAGGTTAGATCCCTCAAAATATTTTGTTCAAATTACGCCTCTTAAATAATTGTTTTTTTTTTTGTGTTCAAACTTTGAACACGCTATTATGATGATTTCATGGAAAAAAATTCACTCAGCACTAATTATTTCATTATGTATTTTAATACATTATTTTTATTTGTAGTATAACTAATTTTTTATGCAGGTGACAGAACAATAATTGTTCTATCAACTATGTAAAAAATTTTGCAACTGCAAAATAAATATTCGCCTGTATATTAAATCATAGCTTTATATGTATTTAAAATTAAGTATTACCTAGAAAAATATACACAGAATATTAAATCATAGATAATCTTATGTTTGGATATTAAAATATACATTTAATTTCTTCTATCGTTTATGTGCATCTGATCTTCGCAAACATAATAACATAGCGAAGAGTTGTGATCCAAGGCCCACAATAAGTGGAAACTTCATATATTTTTATACTTATTTATGTATCATTTATTTTTTAAATATGGGATTATTATTAGATCCCAGAGTCTAATAAATTGGACATACTTTGAAAATTTAAGGAGTTATAGCTTCTGTCCTGTTATATTACATCTGGTAACACTTCCTAGACAAAAAGTATAAATTAAAAACTTGAAGTTATCACAATAATATTAAATTCTGTGATAATATAGTTTGATATTTAGTGTTTTTATTTTAGTTCGTTTTACTGTTAACAATACTGGTCGACTTATTTGTAAACGCAACTTAGCAAATTTAATTTTCGATAAAATTTCATTAATATAATTAAATGTTAAATCATTTTAATCTAATGTGATTTCTGACAAAATGGGAGAAATTGAAGTAAATTATGGCTCTACATTACCTACTGAATCCCTGAAAGTTATTGCTGAAAGTGTTGGTATTGGAAATTTATCTGATGATGCAGCCAAAGAAATTTCTGATTCTGCTACATACCGTCTTAAATTAGTGTTACAAGTAAAAATGATATTTTAAAAATATATTTATATTCGTATAAGTGAATTTACGACTAGGGAAAAATTTAGTTTGCTTATAAGCAGTCATTATTCAAAACATAAAGATTTATTTTATGGAAATATTTTTCTGTATGTTATGTATATTTGATGTTAAATATAAATTGTAAATATAAATGGTGTCTTACTGTTTTACTCTTTGCACTTATTATTTAAAAACTTTAATAATGATATTTTTATTTAAGGAGAGTAAAAAATTTATGATGCATTCTAACAGATGCAAGCTTTTACCAACAGACATTGATAATGCTCTGAAAGTACTTGGTATAGAGGTAAGTTACTAAGTTTATCAAGAATAAATAACATTGTCAACCCAAATTGCCAAGATCATCTCTCTACTTTTGTAGATTTATCTATTCGTTTTTTTCAGTTATAAATTTAAAAAAAACATAATATAATAGTCATAATTTATGACTATCCGACTTTTGTGATTTTGGCTAACAATACGATTTAATTCATTATGTATAATTTTTTTGATAATTTAATTTATAATTTTAAATAGCCCATATATGGATTCCATTCTAAAGAACATGTACCCTTCAGATATGCTTCTGGTGGAGGAAGAGAATTACATTTCATAGATGATAAAGATATAGACCTTATTGAATTTGTAAATGCACCTCTTGCTAAATTACCATTAGACATCAGCTTACGATGTAAGTGATATTAAATTATCAAATCTTATACATTTTTATATATATGTATATATATATATACATCTCGAAATTTTTAAGTAGTAATTAAATTTTTTTGCATTTATACGGCTTCCTTCTAAAAGTATTTTTTCATTCATTTATACTCAGGGATGGATGGTTAATCTGTCCCCGGAGAGAGGTATGGGAGTTCTAATTACTAAGCTGATTTCTCATTCAGTGACTCCATCATTGAGGTCATAACCCAGTTATGGAACCACATGACTGAATTTGTGCTTGAAACAACACTGTTCCTCAAATAGTAATAAAAAAAAAAATTAAATACTTTTTTAATTAACTTTTTTAATAGGTTTACAAAAAAACATGTTTATTTCAAACTTTTTTAAAACATAAGTAAACAATTTAAAACGTTTATAGCGTCTTATTAGAGCAATATAAATGTTGATATTTTTGGTGTTTTAAAAACGATGTGTTCTAAAATATAACAACCCTGATTTTTAATATGTAATTTATAATATCAAAAAATAAACTATTTTAAGGCCATTGGCTTGCAATTGATGGAGTACAACCGTCTATTCCTGAAAATCCTCCATCAGTATCTAAGGATGCTCAAAAAATCGAATGTGTTGATCCCCTTAATAAATTAAAAAAACCTATTGATAAAGAAGTCTCAGGTCGTCCAACAACAGGGTATGATTTTACAGCTAATTTTTAATATTATTATTTTATTTTTTATTTCTTATTTTTAGAAAAGCCCAAAAACTCCGTAATGTTGAAACTGTTCATGTAAAACAATTAGCTACTCATGAGTTATCAGTTGAACAGCAGCTTTATTATAAGGAAATTACAGAAGCCTGTGTTGGATCAGATGAAGCTCGCCGTGCTGTATATTATATATTTTAATATTTATATAATAATATTCATATTTTATAATTATTATTTCAGGAAGCTCTTCAAAGTTTAGCAACAGATCCAGGACTTCATGAAATGTTACCTCGTATGTGCACTTTTATTGCTGAAGGTGTTAAAGTGAATGTAGTTCAAAATAATCTGGCGTTACTTATTTATCTTATGAGAATGGTCAAAGCTTTATTAGATAACCCTGCACTTTATTTGGAAAAATATGTATGCTAAAATCTATAATGATTTCTTTATTCATTTTTTATGATTTGTGTATTACTATAAATAAGAAACACTCAATTTTAATTTGGGTAAATTTTATTAAATGGGTAAAATGTTAACTATTTTTAAGTTATTTAATTTATTATTATCATGGTCACTATAAATGTGCATGCATTGTCCCCAAAATCTAACTTGACAACTAAAATAAAGATTTATTTTTACTTTAAAAAAATATCAAGAGATTCCCAATTTCTAGCGTTAGACATTATTAAAAGAATGAATGTATATCAATATACTTTTACAAAAAAAGAATACCTAAATTTTTATACATTAACCAATAAGCTATTTTTAATATGTTTTTCAAAATTTCTTGATTTTAATATTAAAAAAAAAATTTGTTTTTAATAATACATAATCTAATTGTTCAATATTGTGGCTTAAATTTTAAATATAGTAAAAATAAATAAAAATATACTTATTAAAAAAATTTATTTTTTTTTCAGTTGCATGAAATTATACCATCAGTTGTTACATGTGTTGTAAGCAAGCAATTATGCATGAGACCAGAAATTGATAATCATTGGGCACTAAGAGATTTTGCTGCTCGTCTTATGGCTCAAATTTGCAAAACATTTAATACACCAACTAATAACATACAAACTCGTATTACGAGAGTATTTACTAATGCAACTAACTCGGATAAAACTGCACTACCATCAGTTTATGGAGCTTTAGAAGGTAAAATATTTGTATGTAATTTAATTTATAATTTGTAATTAATATTTTTATTTTTCAGGTTTAGCAGAATTAGGGACAGAAACTATTAAAGTATTTGTTATTCCTAGAGTTCGTATGATATCTGATAGAATAGATTCACCTGAAGTATCACAAAACAATGTTGATAGAATATCTGGAAATCAAATTAAACATTTATTATGTGTAATTAACTAATTAAAATGTTAATTAAATAAATTTATAAATGAATTTTTGGAATTTTGGAACTTAATTTTTACAGAAAATATTAACACCGGTATTGAAAACAACACATCAACCACCAGATGTATTGGAAGATTACAAAACAGAGTTTGGGTCAGTTGGTGTACAATTACATACTGCTGTTACTAAAGCTCGGGCTACTTCAGTAACTCAAAATTCAAGTAGTTCTACTCTCACACAAACCAGTAATCTATTATATTACTTCATATCTGAAAGTTTTGAATTTTAACCATAAAATAATTTTTTTTAGATCCATCGCCTAAATCAGCTATTGGCCGACCAGTAGCTACAACAACAAGTAATACAGGTGGTGGACCTCAAAAATATGTGTTAATGTCACAAAGACCTAATAATACTCCAGTATGTTAAAAAATTATATTAAATTTTACTGGTATATATAAAGAATATAATATACTTGAATTTTTTTCCTTAAAAATATTGTTACATCTTTTACTTTTTGTTTGTATGATGATATTATCAAAAAAAATTTTTTAGACTACAGACTGCTTATTAAAAAAAGAAAATATGAGTAAAATTGTAGTGAGTGCACGTCTGGTTATTTTTCCTTTATAATTAATATGTTAGTCTTACTAGAAATTGTAAGCAGGTTTTATGTAAGTTATGAAATGTTTAGCATTATAAAAATTAGAGGGCTTGAGACATATTTTAAAAAATACAGTAATTTATTTAAATTTTATGAATATTCTACCGCCTAGAAAAATTAATTTTACTTATTATAACATCATTTAATGAAAATTAGTAAATTTTACTAGTAGTGAAAAGTCAGTGATAAAAAAAATTATTCTAGAAGATTTATTATGAGTTCACTACTGTCTTAGTGCTCTGAGGTTTCTATTTTGTTCATATAATAATACACCTTTTAACAAAAACTAAAACTTTAGTTAGATGAAATATTTCTACTATATTCCTTTGAATATAAATTTATTTATTCTTCCCATTTTTTCTTAACTAATGAATAATACTTTTGTTTTTGATTCCAGAACTCATCTAACAAAAATACTCACGTATCTCATCAGAATGTTAAATCTGAATTTCAAGATCCAAATAATCAAGCTTAGTCAATGTAGTAATATTAAAAGAAGTTTAATTTTGATGCAGTTAACTTTATTTGAATAAAGAAATAAATAATTATTTATCTTTGCTAATAGTTGTAAATAATCATCAATATTTAAATATGATAATAAAATTAAATCTCATGTATTCGATTATTTTTTTCATTTTAAATCAAATGTGTATTGTGACCCTTATGTCAGTTGTATTGCACAAACTTTGTATTCAATAGTTATAGGGCTTACTTTAAATATTATCTCTCATAAACCTTTATCTATAAATACTTTAAACACAAATTTTATGTAAAATTGATTTTTGGTTTTCTTTGAATATCTTATATAATTATATATTTATAGACATTTTTATTAGAAGATATACCTTTGTATATTTTTTATGTTGCTTGTATTATTATTATTATTAAGTGACAAATATTATAAAAAAACATTTATTATCCAAATTGTGGTAATTATCAGAGATATGACAGAGAGTATTTTTAAAATTTTTTACAATATTGTTATTTTACATCTTATTTAAATAACTATCACCGAAATAACACAAAGTATCCTAGCCATAGATGATAAATATTAATAATAATGTTTATTCAATATATCACAGATAGTTATTAGTATTATACCATAAAACACTTAATACATTATGAATATAAAATGTTTATTATGAAAATGATATAACTATTATGAAACAATTATTTAAGTAGATAAACATAAAATATATAATAATAAAATAAAAAACGTTAAGAAAACAAATATATTAAAGTTCTACTCTATTTTTTTTTATTGGGCATAAATTAACTGTATCTGTACAAATGGCATCCACTACATTTTTATTATTTTCTGATTTCATAATTTTATATATATCATCTGCAATATCATCAACAATATCATCACAATAATATTCCAAACTTTTGTTTAAATCAGAGTCTTGTATTACATCAACTTCACTCATTAGAGGATTCATCTTACCATCTAGTACTAGCGGCATAACAGTTAATGTACCATTTTCCTTAAAAGTAGCACGGACATAATCGGACATTTGCTTACATACTGAATCCATAACTTCTGATAAATAAATTTGTGAACGAGATAAAGGAACAATATTACTAGGGTTATTACCATTTTCATCTAATCGAAAATTTAAAACTTGAACAACACGAGAAGGGTCTACAGAGCTTACATTTTTTTGGATTAACTCAACCAGTCGACAACAAACTTCACATTTTAACTCTGAAGTACTAACTGCAAAACTAGGCACAACATAAATGAATAACAAAATGTTTAACTTAAACATTTTTAAAATTATTTCAACAGTAATACAGTACTTAGAAAAATATGATGAGACGATAAGTACTAGTTCAATGTTTTAAAATTTAACTTGTGAGTTTCCAAATATTGACAGAACACAATGTTATGAAATTAACATTTAATGTATAGTATTTACTGGTTTTCTGTGATAACTGAAGTTGATGTTATCATTTTATACGTGTGTAAAAATAAGTGGTAGGTACGGTAATTACTATAGGTATTGTAAAATATTAATACTTTTATCTATTCATCTAGGGTATAATTATTAGCATATTTTTAACTATTTTATCACTAAAAAATAACGTTTTGGTTATTGAAATGGTATAATTTTTTTTGAAAATTAGGCAGAATATTTTTTTTATATTTTTCTAAAATTTTAATGTTTACTCAACTGTGAAAAGTAGTGTAATCAATTCAAATAGGGTACCAAAAAATAGAAAATCAATGAATGCCTGATTTGAATGACATTATTTCCAGTGGTCTAATTAGGGTTTCATCTTGGGAAGATATACATAAGAATATTTTTCACGTCCCACTCCAAACTAAAAATATTTTATCTTTGCCATATAATTATTTTTGTCATGAGAGAAGATACTCATTCCCCTCTCCATGATTACACCAGTGATTAGTTCTTGTAGAAAAATAAAGGTGCCAAAAAAATTATTGAACTTACACAAATTCTGAAGTCATAATTCAAATTTTAATAAAATTTTTGACATATAAAATGTTATGCAACTAAATAAATATACTGATTAAAACACAGGTATTTTACAATAACTGTTCTCTTTATCATTTTCTGTGGTGAATATGAATAAATGAAAACTTAAAATTGATAACGTAATATTTGACAAAAAAAAACAGTGATAGGTAGTAACTTGACTTTAATTTAAAAAAAATTATTTGTTACTTTATTCTAAAAGTGCACTGTCGTTTAGTGACTTATTTATAATTTTAAATTGGCGGTTTAAAAATTAAAAAAAATGTTCTTACCCTCTCCCTGTTATATCAAAATTTAGGTATTTTTTAAGTTCTTTCTTATTGGTAGACGTTTTTTTCTACCAATTCCTCTGTAAATAAGCCTAAAGATAATAAGACTCAAATAATTCTATTCAATTAAATTATGTTTATTTATTATAATATATTTTATATTAATTTCACTCTTATATTTTTATTTTGAAATTTAATTAAATGAATCTATGTACGATTGCCGCGTCGGTAACACTACAGTCTTTTACACTCGAGGTACAAGGTTCAAACCCCACCAGCAAAAATGATTTATTTTAAGTGGGGTTGGTTAGGCCTAGTGGGTAGAAACGTATATTTCGTCGCACGGGGTTCTAGATTCGATCTCCAGGATGCCAATGTAATTTCTAACATCTGAAAGAAGGCCATCACCCTCTATAGCATTTTAAATTTGGAAAATAGAGAGATGTAAAACTGATAATTACAGTAATTAAATGAATCTAGGGAAATCAGTGGCTTATTTAGAGATTGTACAATGACATGTGACCCCCTTCATTGGCAGTATTATGTTAATATAAAAATTTTTGGTCTTATAATATATTATATTTTATAAATAGTTCTTCTATTATTGTTTGTTAAAGTTAAAAGATTTTTAACCATATTTCTATTGATAATTTAATGTTTAGAATACAGTAGTTATAATTTCTTCATGATGTCACACAAACAAGTTTTTATTGATAATTTTTGTTATCATACTTGTTACTTACGATAGCAAGAATAAATACGGGAAATAATATATAGTCCATTGAAACAAATATTGTATTATGAAAACCAAATTAATGATGAATTTATATTTTAAATTCAAATCTATAAACAATTTTAAAACGCAAACTGTCGATTAAAAAAAATTATAAGAACAAAAATTTTTTTCTATTATATCATCAAACTAAAAAGGTTGCCATTAAAGAAAATTAATGTTTAGGTTTTTTATCCCTAAAAGGATGAAAAATAATTATTTAAGTACATTTCAGTTAAATATTACACTGTACTACATTTTCAGTATGAAATTTGATAATACTATTTTGATTTTAGAACTAAATTACAAGGAATGTTCGACTTTTTTAAATTTTAAGTTCAATTTTCGAATTGTATCCAACACCCTAAGTTCAGTTTGAACATCACTACTAAGTATTTTCAAAATAATTAAGTTAATGAGCGCCTTAATACCCTTCCTCATTGACAAAAAAATTACAGAAGTTAGGTAAAGTAGATTGTGTATAGAAAATTTTTAATTATATTACTGAAATTGGACATTGATTTGTTAACCTCATAGGGGTCCTAAAACTCTAAGACTGGCTTTGGTAACAATATTTAAGTAAAAACAATTTTGTATAGTATATGCTAGACAAAACCATATTTCGGAGGAGTCCAAGGTGTCCGAATCCTAAGTAAGTTTTTCAAAATACTCGGTGATTCATTTAACACTAGCCACTCGATTTTTCTAATAATGATAATATTGTTAAGGATATTATTTATGGTATTTTTTAATTTCATATTTATATATTTATTGGTTGTAAATTACTTTTTATTTCAACCCTTATACCTTATAGGGGTGTCAACTTAATTTTTTGAATAGTATACATATTTAACTAGCCCATATAATGAAAAATCTAATTAAGAAAATGACAGGTCTAAAACGATTTTTGACCCATTGATCCGGAATTTATTTTTGCTACTATTCTCCTGTCAAGGTATCAAAATGTTAACAACTTTCAAAGTACTAAAAAGTTATTATTGATCATTTATTGTCTTATTTAAATAATTTCCTATTTTATTAGCTAGTTGAAAATACAGGCTTCCTTGTTGTGAGTGAATTAAATTTTCATCTTCCCTATTTAATTATTCAGATTCATTGCTATTTTAGAATGTCAACAATTACTTAAAATATATTTTCAAATAAAAAATGTTGATTAAAAAGAAATTTCTTATATAAGCTTAAAACTTCATAACGTTAAATTTATAAAAATAAAATTAAGCAATATTAAAGTAAATTATTTAAATATATATATTTATTATTAATACTGAACAGTTACGTAAGCCCTAGTTATATAACTACACCTCCATCTATATTCCCTAAGAGTAGATCCAGATTTTTTAAAGTAGATACGCAAACATTTTGTAGTTTAAAAATGATATTTTGCAGATATATCATTAAAAGATTTTTTTTTTAATTTGCACTTATAGTTCATGAGGGCGCGAATTCTAGGTTCCCAACCTTGGATATGTACCTTATACACCTATGACTTTCTTTTTAAACTAAATTGTTATAAGGGCTTGTTTAAACATATTGGCTTACATATTGTATCATATTATTTATTAATATTTAATTCTTGTCAAATATTTTCGAAATTCTGCTTACCCGAACAGAATTCCATAAGGAAAAAATATTTATAGTATTTTTTAAAAATATTCAGTTCGTTTATCAATTTTCAATTGATAAGATTTACATACGGTCATTTTATAGTACGAACTTTGATCATAACTTAACTTCATTGATATTTTTTTTATAAAAGTAAGATTTACTCTATTCTATAAAATGTTTATATTAATAACAAATTTAATTTAAAGTAATTAAATTTTAAGTATTAAAGATTCAAGTATTTAAACAATTAAGTTGATAAAAATATATAATTATACATATCGAAAATTTATATTTATCATCTAAAAAATTGAATATCAATTGTAATTGACAATTTTGTGTAATTTTTAATTATTTTAATAGCATGTGTTCAACAATGATTCTGTAAACATAATGAAATATTACCCGGATAGCTATTTTTCTTCCGAAATAACCAAAAAATTGGACAATTGGAATTTCATAAAAATATTAAGAATCTCTATCACTTTTTCTATAAGAAAAGAGAAACCGCACCTTAAAATAATTAGAGTTGGTTATTGGTATTGACAAAAAAGTAAGGTTTTGAGGGTGTAAAGTCTACTTAAATTAAAGTATGAAATAAGTTATAATTGAAGTCGTGAATGTTAAAAAAATGAATTTTCAACAATTAATTTCATAACACTTAAAAATTAAAAAAGAAAACATTTATCAACAAAATTTTTAACTATAAAACAATTTATGCGTCATTACTTGAAAAAAGTTTGAATTCACCCTTGGTATGATTAAGTTATTAGTCACCACTTTTCTTTATTTTTTATAACAGTTTTAATGTTATCAATATCAACAAATAAAATGATATAATAGAAATTATTTTTAGGTATGTCAGTAGTTTAAATCTGGATCAAAATTATAAAGATCGAATCGAAGTTGAGAAGGTATTAATTTTATTATGACTTGTTTTAATTTGTTGTTATAGTTAGGCCAACTACAAAGCCATTTCCCGCTACAAAAAAATCTTTGTATATGTTTGCTTATTACTTTATTTTATCTAAAGCATGATAAAATAATAATTTAAATTGTGTAATATGTGATAACAACGATTCATTTATCACTTCTAGAACGGTAAATGCATTCAGACTTAACAACGTGGTTAACCTTGAGAATTAATTGGTGACCAGTTATGACGTCGACAAACATGCGGCTGTGTCGGCTGATAATGTAAAATTTCCGTGTACGCAGATAATAGTTATCCTTAAGTATTTGAATCTGTTACTAATCATTATAATTAATAATATATTGGCGTATTTGAACAATTCTCGGTTATCACATCATCGCCCCATCTATTCATTCTTGAGATTACATGTTCATTTAGATGTTTCATGTATAATGTGTCTCTTCGATATATTTTTGGTATTAATCAAGATATTATAATTTTTTGCGCAGTATAAATTACTAAAACGTAAGTTGTAGTTAAACCTATTTATTTTTATTTATATTGAAGACTACCTCTTACAGAATTCTTGTAGTAACAATAGTGAAACTGAAATTTTTTTTTTAATTTTGAGACATCAGTAAAATCTTAATTTTTTTCGATAATTTTACCTAGTAAATTATTTTAAAAACAAAAAAGAAAACAGAGGGCTAAGTTTTTATTTATTTTAGTGACTAGTAGAGTTGGATTAGAGTGAATGTTCTTAAAATAATATACTTAATTATTAAAGTTATTTTAATACTTTTTAAGATCACTTATATAAATTTTTTAGTGGTTTCCTAGGCTTGTTTGTATAAATTAGTAATTTATGATACTTAGAACGATTTATAATTTGAGAGACTAAGAAGTTATAAATTGCATTTTTTATTCATTTGATGGCTCTTTATAATCATTGTAAAATACTATGTTTTTATCTCAAATTTTGCATTAAATTAATTTTGCCAAAAATTAATTATACTGTATATTGTGTTTTAGATAAATATTTTAACAAATCAACATGTCAAAAAAAAGATCAAGAGATGCTTCAAAGAGTTCAAATGATGTTGAATTGCAGGTTAATAACACAGGTTCAATAAAGCAATTAGAGAATGTGAACATCCAAAATAAAAATAATCTTATACCAGTAATAATTGATTTAGTTTTATTATCTGTACTAAATTATAACTAATTGTATAGCTTTGTAATTAAATAGTATAAAAAAATATAATTATTGGGATACTAATTGATTTTTTTTGTTTAAAAGTACAAGTTATTCTTAATGTGATGATGTGTTGGAGACATTTAAATATATAACCTAAAATAATGAATTTAGAAACGGTATATTAAGGGTTTACTTGACCATATCAGATCCATTATTTTCAATTTTTTTAATTAACAACAGTAATTAATTTTAAAGTTAGAACAATACTTCCAACACCTAAATATGCTAAATTATGTAAGCAACAAAATTAAATCATAATTTTTTTTTAATTTAAAATAGAAAAATATATTATTTTCAAAATCCTTTTTTAGCTTACTCTTTAGTTACCTATCAATAAAAAACTGATTCTGAGTCATTTTAATTAAAAATAAAAAGTCTAGTCTTAAAAGGTTAATACAGTAAAAGTTATTGTAACTAATTTTAGTAATTGAATTTTCAAATTTTATCTTAAGACTTAGTTTGACAAGACTATTATTATTGTGTACAAGAGTTTTATTTTTTAATTTAAGTTTTATGTTAAATTACATAACTAAATTATCAGCAAAATACAATAATATCATTGAAAAAAAAATGTTTTTATTGATAAAAATAAATTTATTTACTATTTTTTAATTCATAATAGTTCTTATTATAGACTTTTTGTTTATCAAGGTTATCATTTAAGTATTTAATATTCAGTTGAAAACTAGTCTTTCTTTTCAATTATTTTCATTTTATAAATAAAACTTCATGTGTGTATAATATAAGTTGATTTCTATAAGTGATATAAATAAGTAATATGTATAGACATAAAATACTTGATTTATTTTCCTTGAATATACTTCTATTATATAGATTGAGCAACATTTATAGAAATATTTTATTTATTACTATTTAATCTTTAGTTCAAGTTTGAAAACTAACTAAAAATGAATTGTTTTTAATTTTTTAATCTATAAATTAATATTTAAATAAAATATTTTTTATTTTATTTAGTCTATTTGTAAACCAGCTCCATTTAGTACAGATGCTGATGCCATTATTGAACGAACTACATGCGATTATGATACAAAAATAACAATGGACATGGCTAATTCGAGCACTGGTAATTATTTAATTCTAGTTTATCAGTTTATGGTGCTGGAATTACTGGTTTATAATGATAGATAAAGTTGTTTCCGGGAACTTTTAAATTTATATAAAAATAAAAATGTAAAGTTATCAGTAACTTTCTTTTAAAAATTGTTGATGTTAATTAGAAGAATTATAAGATCTCTTAGAGAAGAAGAATTAAATTTTTTTTTACTGTTTATTTACATAATTTGTGAATGATATATCTTTTCTAAAATTATTGTTATTTAATTTTTATAAAAAAAAAGTTTGTATATAAACTTTTTTTAGAAAATTTAATTCCTTATAAAAAAAATGATCTCTTGTTTATGAAGTAATGTTATTTGTATTTGTAACTTAATATGTATTTTAATAAATTTTTAAAAAATTATTCTTTAATTATTTTTGCATTGTAGTTTTATGACTTCAAATGATATACAGTAAAATTTGATCACATAATGAATAATCTAAAAAAAGTGATATTAAAGATTTAAAAAATTATTTTTTTTCATTGTTAACCTTGAATTATTCTAAATATAAATAGCCCAATGTCCTTAATTGTGGTTCAATGATTTATTTGAATAGTAATAACTAATTTTTAAAAAAAATGTTATTAATTAATTTAAGTAATATTTTGAATTATATTTCTTTCAGCACCCAGAAAAATAAGAGTTTATGCTGATGGTATATATGATATGTTTCATCAAGGTCATGCAAGGCAATTAATGCAAGCTAAAACTATTTTTCAAAATGTTTATTTGATTGTTGGAGGTTAGTTTAAGATTTGAACTATAATTATTTCTAAATTGATTATGTGCAATTACAATCTAGTCTTATTATGATCCAAAGATTTTCAAAATGTATGGTGTATTAGAAATGATGATAAAAGGGGTTAACGAATGATGAAAATGTGAAAAGAAATGGAAACGGCGATGGATTAACCACCCGTTCTGGAGTATAAATTGTTAAAAAAACCTTCTCCTTTGGAAGAGGCTGTTATGGACCTTAATTGAGCCGATAAAAGCACTAAAAATAAAAAAATTGAATGAAAAGTAACAAAGAGATGCTGTAGAAGATACTTTGTGGAATGAAGAAGTAGTAGATTTAATTAGCGAGGAGAGGTATAAGAGGCTGTGAAATCAATGAAAATTAAGTAAGCAGTAGAATCTGATAAAGGAAATGAAAGTGTAGAAAATATTAGGGGATCAAAGCATAGGGTGATTGAAAGATTTTTTAATAAAGTTTTAACAGAAGAAGATGCCAAAAAGAAAGGAAGAATTATTTTATCGTACTTGTATTTAAAGGCAAAGAAGATATATAGCAATATGGAAATTATAGAGGCATAAAGCTTAAGAATCATAGTATAAAGATTTGGGAAAAAATAATTGATAGAAAAATAAGTGAGTTTCCTTGAACAAAATGAGGACTGTCGGTGTGTGTATAAATAATATGGGTATTGTGTCTAGTGAAGGTGTTGGATACAAGTGGTTGACTCCAAATAGTTGAGATGAAGATGATGGAGAATAAGATTGACTATGTTTAAATTGATAATTAGTGTAAAAATGTTCTTAAATTTAAATTCAGTGTCCACTAAGTTTGAAGGTAATCAATGTTTTAGTACTTATTAAAATTTTTGAATTACATTGCACTGTAATGCATTACTAAGTGAGTTATATATAAAGTTAGTTTCTTTATGGAATAAGCAATTACACTATTAAAAACATTTCATGTACAAAAGAAACAAACAAAAAATTATTCAATAACTGTTAATGATTTAAAATTTAAACAATTTTATGTTTATTTAAATAGTTTATCTAATTAATTTTTATTAAGTGTGTAGTGATAGAATTACACATGCAAGAAAAGGCAAAACAGTAATGACGGATGAAGAAAGGTATGAAGCAGTAAGACATTGTAGATATGTTGATGAAGTTTTAAAAGATGCTCCTTGGGAAATTAATGATCAGTTTTTAATAAATAACAAAGTCAGTATAAAATTCAATGAATTCATCATTTAGTCTTAAAATTTAATTAGAATGATTTTTTATTTTAGATTGATTTTGTTGCTCATGATGATATTCCATATATAAATGAAGAAGGAGAAGATGTTTACCAATCTTTAAAAGATAAAGGTATGTTTGTAGGTACTCAGAGAACCGAAGGTGTATCAACATCAGATGTTATATCTCGAATTGTTCGTGACTATGACATGTATGTTAGACGTAATTTAAAACGAGGATATAGTGCCAAAGATTTAAATGTATCATATTTAAGGGTAAAATACTTAATATTAAAAAATATGAATTAATTAATTAAGTTTATTATACTGTCTATAAAATTATTGTATTAATTGTAGGAAAAAAGATTAAAATTACAAAACAAAATGGAGGAGCTGAAAGATCGTAGTAAGCGTGTTATGGGGACCATTGGCGAAAAAAGAGTAGATATAATACAACGATGGGAAGAAAAATCTAGAGATTTTATTGTTTCATTTTTATTGCTATTTGGTCGAGATGGACCAATTGTAAGTTAATTATATAATTATGTATGTTTCAATTAATTGAACCATACAGTCATTTCAAATGATAATAATTTTTATGCAGTCACATTTTTGGAACGATAGTAAAGGTAAATTATTACAAGCATTTTCTCCTCCAGCAAGTCCAACAGAAAGCGGACGTAGTACCCCAGAATTTGAATCTAGCAGTTCATCTGAAGAAAACTCGAGGTATTTTAAATATTTTATTAAATCTAATAAAAAATTTAGTAAATCAAATAAAACTAATTTTCTAATTTTTGTGGTTACATTTTTTTTTGCACTTAATTAAAATATAATTTAGGTTTGATGATTTGTGTATAGAGTGTTCAATAAGTAAATAAATAAGTTTCTATTATTCTCATTATTTGTAACAATTTACCGGTTTCCTTACTTACTGAATACTCTGTATATTACATTTAACTTATTTTTTTATACTTAAATTATTCTAGTATTTTCTTAATATGAAACTATTTCATTATTATATTCATTACTTTAAAGATTTTTCAAAGTCTTAAAAGTATTTCTAAGTATTTAATTATTTCAAATAAATAATTAAAATATAAGTGATATATATATAAATATTAAATTATTTATAGTAGGTCGCCACCTAGAAAATCAATAAAAAATGATCACTATTTAGAAGATGATTGTAATGATGATGATGATGATGATGTTGATAATGAAGAAGACTTGTTAGAAAGATATGATTATATTAATGGATCCAATACTCAATCTTAGTACCAAATTATTGTTATGTTGAGAAAACATTCTTAGCATTAATAGATAAACTAATCCTAATGAATATGAAATTAAATTATTTATACACACATAAATGTGTTTTAAAAATTATATATACACATTTTATTTTATACAAAAACCTACATTTTTTTTATTTTCATACATAATTTTATCAATGTTATGAAGATTTAAAAGAAGTGTAGACATTCAACTGTCATTTACAAATGTGAAGTGTTGTATAATTATAAAGTTTAATTTGTATGCCTCTGCTTTTTATAGAATATATTTTGTAAATGGGTTTATAAAACACAAGATTACAGATTTATTTATTATATTATATATATTTTGATCTGAATTTTGTACAATTTATGTAATTAAAAAAATTAGAAGTTTTAATAAACCTATTTGTTAAAGTTTATATAAAATTGAATTTTTATTTATTCAATTAAAATAATATACAGGTCTTCAAAAAGTATGAATTCTGTTTTTATTAAGCGACAAATTCCAACAACAGTTTTCAGCAAATGAAAAAAATTAAAACGGAAATAAATTTATTGATTATTTTGAATTTGTTGAATAGTTATTTGAGAAAATGAATACTAAGTCAATTTAACCAGGTAGTAATAGCGAAAAGACTAATAGAAGATAAGTTCATAAACAAAATGATATCGTGTCTTAGATAAGTGTTAAGAACGTTCTTAACAATATGGCCATTTTAATTATACACATTTATCAATGCAACGTGATATTCATTGTACTATACATTTATGATACTATGTTCACTTAGTTATTATAATTTGTCGCTCTTGCTAGATAGCTAGATAGTTCGATTGATTTCAGTATTCTTATTCTTAAATGTCTGTTCATTGAATTTATTATTATTAATATATTACCGTATTTTATATTAATTTTTTTTTTCAGAAAATGGTTGTTCAAATTTATCGCTTAAACGATGTATAGCAAACTAAAATAATTTATAACTATTAATAGACCTTTCGGGCTGTTTTATTTTTATAGATGTTATTTATTGTCTTTAGTATTATAAATAGATTGAATTTAATCAAATGTATGTTTTTTTTTATGTTTAGTCAATTTTGATATACTCTCAAGCCTCAGTTTCATTACATTTTTACAGAAAATATTTTTATGTTAGTTTAAAATGTTACTTTAGATTTTATTTAAAATATTTATACTCATATTAAACAAGGATGTGATAAGTGAGGCGGAAAGCTTTAAATATGTGCAAAAGAATAATGGTATTAACGAGAATGCGAGACATAGGATTAAATGTTAGTGGAGAGAAGAATTTAGTATATTGGATAATAAGAGAACTCCAATAAAGCTAAAAGTTAAGTTCTATAAGCCTTTTGTTTTTAGATGCTCATTGGAGATGAAAAATTTTAATTACTTATATTAAACTTACTAACGCAAGTAAAACGTTTGGATAACACTGATAAACTCCGCTAGACTGCGCTGCATAATAAGTTTCTTTTAAAATGCAAACATTGTTTAATTTATTTTTATTTTTAAATTACAAGTTAAATGATAGATTAAAATTTAAAAAAATCTCAATCTAATAATGTTTAATAATTAAATAAAAGTAATCAAAACTATATTTAATTTTTTTACAAATTCGTAAACATTTACCATAAATAATTTAACAATGTCACCGTAATAAAGTATAAAGAAAATGATTCACACTGACATAATAATTACATTGCTGTTGAGATATACCGAATCATAAGTATACGTAAGAATTATGATAAACCACATAATATATTCGCATTCAATGATAATATTGAAAGACAAAAATTTGTGGGCATAACCTTCCACTGATTTAAATTTCATTTGTAAAATTAACTGAGTCAATTTCACATAATTTTGTTATTGATGATAATTTTATTAATGGAATTGTTATAAAAAAATTAGAAATCGTGATACATGCTGTAGTTCAATATAAAAATGGTGAATAAGAAAAATAAATGATGATCAATATTATGTTAATAACTAGGCTTCAATTAGATAAAAAATGCATTATTTTATTTTTAAACACTTTATAGTTCAGTGGCATATTTACAATAGAATTTTGAAATGAGTTTTGAAAATATCAAATGGAAAGGTTTGTAAAAGTCTTCTTGTTTCACATCGTCTCTTAAAATTAATAGTAATTTTTTATTTTTCAGTAGTTTAAAAGCAAAGAAAATTCAAGAATATAATTTGAAACTATATTCCCCTTAAAAAAAATTTTGGTTGCATTACTGGTTATAGTAATTAGAACATTCTTTTAGTTTAGCTATTGGTTTCGGAGGTGGATGAGTTTTGTTGTTCCAGGACACCCTTAAAAATATGCTATTAAGAAAGTTTATAATTAAATATTTTTTTTTTATGATTGAAATTTTTAAAATAAATTTTATTGAAGTAAAGTACTAACATTTTTAGAAATACGCTATCTCAAAGTCTGTCTATGTCCTGTGCATTTTCACTAACTCAGTACGTCATAAGAATTCTGATGTCTGACCATGTAATTGGAAATAGAAGTAACTTTCATGGTTAATAATTTAACAAAAAAAAAACTATTCGTAGGATTTTTTTTCATGTCATTTGGAAACTTCCGATTATTAATTAAATATCCGATTTTGTGTTACAATAGGATATTAGACATGTCGTGATTTCAAAAATTGTTTACTAAATGTGTTAATTTATAATTCGATATTAAATGTAAATTCAAATGAATATCCTAGTAAATTTCGGTTGGGATGTGTTTTACTTGAATGAGTAAAAATTAAGGTTTTAGTCCATTTGGATATGTTTTTTTATATTTTTTAGAATTTGAATTAAGTTATTTATTTAGAAATATGTTTGTGATAAATTGTAGAAAAATAAAAATAAACTAAATGTAACTAATACAAAGTAAACAAATTATTGTTTTTTTTTAGAACACCTGAACTGATAATAAGTTAAAATCATTTTAATTTTAGCTTCGATGGGACACTGAGAAAGTATTAGAATCAGTTTTAGAAATTTAAAAAAATGTATTAGAATTAAAATACAGTAAAAAATACTAATTTTTTAACAATATTTCGGAAGGTCTGGCAATTGTTAACTTAAATAAATTAAAAGCTTTTAAAATAAACAAAATTATTGAAAAATAATTTTATCCATGATTGTTCGATTATTTTAAACGTTTTATTTATGAGAAATTGGTCTTCAAATTATTTAATCGGCAAAAATAATTATTTGCCCCCATTCATACTTTTGTATTTGCATATATTTTTGCATATAACATAAAAATAGGCTATCTAGAAACAGATTAATTTCACACTACAATGAATTTAAAATACAAATTTTACATTGCATGTTTAGGTTTTATGGCTTATTAGATATATTTTTATTTTTTATGAAATTTTTTTTTCATTTTTTTTCAAATAACATTATTAAGATTTAATATTTTTTACCACTTGATTACGGTAAAAAATAAATCTACACCCAGAGAAAAACCTCGATCTATATAATAAATTCATTGTTCAATTTGATAAATATATCATTACTATTGAATCTATGATATATTTATCAATATGATAATTTTTTTTCTTGTCTTGAACAATAATTATTTATAAGAATAGTTATTTTGTTCGTATTAATAAAACATTATCATAAACCCTTGATAAAATTTCTCTATCAAAATTGATTGAGGTTTTTCTTTGGGTGTATAATCTTTAAAAAATTGTATTATTTATATCAATCATACTCATTATCTATGAGAAAAAAAATGTCGATTGTATTTAGTTCACAATATTCATTATCGGCGCTAGGTCTAGGAGTGGGACTGTTTGGAGTCTCAACTGTGGTTCACGTTTCAAGCCGGGTCGTTGTAGACCTGTTATTAGGGAGGCGTGGGTACTCGTACAGGCGTTTTCCAAAGCGGTAAACCTAAGCAAAGAATCGGACGATAGACGCCTTTGGGTGTTTTATGTGTTATTCTATGTTTTCGTGAGTCTTTGAGCCCCGACATCGTAAAGTCCTGCCCCCCCCCCCTATGCGGTGCAGTCTGGGCAACAGAGTGGAATTCGGGTACGGTTAACAGGGGAGACCATGCTGTTTTGTGACCAATCTCTTGATTAATTTCGAGCATAACTTGGTGGTGTGAGTTATAGAGACGGTGCGGACTATCCTAAAGTAATGCCTAACAGCAGTTTCAGGGCGGCCCGCAATATGCCAGCCGAGAAAAAAAAAAGTAGACCCGTTTTAAAATTATGGTTTGAGCCGGCTAGTTCGAATCATTAAGTTAATATTACAGACTGAATTATATTAAATCAAGTTACGACCTGGTCCAGTCCAAAATAGAAATTAATATATTTGATATCTGGACTGGAATTCAATTTGGATCAGTCCAACCCGTCCTAAACTGATCTGTGTTAGCTATGTCATTAGTACAGGTAATATTGGTTCATAGTAGTCTTGTATTACACTATTTGTAACACTCTAAATATAAGTAAAATTAGTTATAATTTTATACTAAACTACATTTTAGTATAAAATTATTATTATTACGTATGCTTTTTTTATTCGATTGTATAAGAATATAATTTAACGGTAAACTTTGTTAATGCTTTTAGAAATTTTCGTCTTAAGTATTTGTTCTCAAAAAACACGTTTATTTAGTCTGGATGGTTAATAGACCAATTAGACTAAATTAAAACCTTACAAATATTCACACTAGTATAAACACAGTTTTTATTTTTTTACTTATTAAACTCTTACATTCGACCTCATATTTAATTAAATTTTTAAGTAACTCTGAAACAAAAAGAAATTATTTTCAAAATAAATCCCGGTATAAATAATATTGGACATACATATATAATACATACAGCACAATTAAATGAATTACGTCATCCAAAATTTTAACTTTTTATTAAATTTGGATAATTTTTAGATGAATTTCTATAGACGGGTCAAATATAAGAATAATAAATAATAATTAATAACCTCCCTAAAATGTTGCATCTCGATTTCTAAGTTTGTATTTTTGATTATCTCAAGACTTGGAATACTGTGAATTTAGTTGTATTATTTTTATTTTTTCATTATAAACAAATAATAGAAATAGACTTTAAACACCATACCTTTAAGCAAAAAACAAACAAATTTTCACTCAAACGTGTTATAATGCACGATATTTTTGGCGAAATAAATGCCATTATAATATTAGTTTGCCTTTCCTATAATTTCAAAAAGAGTTAAAGTGACAATTAATTATATATTTTTGGGTACTAATTTAAATTTTTACGAATACACGTGTTTGTTATAATTTTATTAATATTCTTAAAATAAATCCAATGTAAATAATTTAAGTTATATGACTTGAAAAATTATATTTGTGTAAAGTTCATAAACGCCTGTTCGTACAAATTGTTTTCTATAAAATCAGCAATTCTAAAATATATTTTATTTCAACTGATCGTAATTTTGTAGCATTAATTGTAATTGAGCGTCATTTTAGGCCTACCATGGACATAAAGTGTACATCGGTTTTTTTATTTTTATTAACTGTACATTTCAAGAGTTGTGAGGTAATATTTTGTTATATTTTTTAATCAATTTAAATAATTTTTTTACTTAAAAGTGAATTTTGTAGGTTTCATATTTTTTTCCAACCATATCTTAGATATCAATGCTCAGCATACATTCATATTAACTAAATTTAATTAGTTTTTACTTGGTAAATCATTGTTACATATCTGTAATATTCTCAAGTGAAAATTTTTAAATATTTGAAAGTATTACATACTATTTTTCAAATTTTTTATTGCATTTTAATTAAAGATATTTCAGTTAATTTATTGTTGGTTAAATTTTAATATTTTTAGATCAAATTTATGAACAACAAATAATAATTTGATTTATTACAGTCAATTGTTAAACCGGCTCCGTATAGCACAGATCCAGAAGCGATAGCTGAAAGAGAAGCATGTGACTACAATATAAAAATTACACTTGAAATGGCTAAAGCAGGCAAAGGTAACATTTTTTTTTAATCATTCAGAAAATTACCTGTTAATTTTTTTATCGCTTAAATCAAAATATTTATTGAAATTAAATGTAACAATAAAGATAATTTAAAATTATATTGTAGCGAGAATGTGATTAAAAAGTATGTATTTTGATGTAATTATATGATTTATAGTTAATTGAATGGAATTTTTAATAAACAAATAAAACATTGATTTGAATGAATTTCATTTATAACTTTTTCTAAAACTAATTTTAAATAGTAATTTGTATTAAAAAATATCTATGTAATTAATAAAAGACATTCGTTTATTTTTGACTTGTTAACTAGTTAAGTATAGGTAAAAAGAAGTAGTTTATGAACTGAACTATATAAATTTTTTAAATAAAGGATCTATTTTTTCATTATTTTAAAAATGCATTATTTGTTGAATAAAAATATGGTTTATACAATTTTAATGACTAAAGTAACACCACACGATTTAAGACATCTATTATATACTTTTAAAAAGTCACCTTTTTTTTCATATGTCATATTTTTTTTTGTGTTATTAAAAAAGCATTTCTATTTAAATCATACAATCATTTTTCAGCTCCAAGAAAAATTAGAGTGTATGCTGATGGTATATACGATCTATTTCATCCAGGACATGCTAATCAACTTCTTCAAGCAAAAAATGCATTTCCAGATGTCCATTTGATTGTCGGAGGTAAGTCGAATTATTTGACAGCTTTGTAGGAAAAATATATTTTTCCTATAAAGTACTTAGAAACATTTACTTGAATATTTATAATAAAAAAACCTAAATTTAATTAATTAAATTTATTATTTATTATATATTAAGAATTTTATCCTCCATTTGTTCACAAAAAAATGTACACATTGAAATTTGATTAATTCTTATGAACCATAGTAAATATCAAGTTTATTGTAAAAAAAAATTATTTCTAAAGGTAAATTTTAGGCTTAACTTTCGAAAATTAAATGAAGATTTTTTATTATTATTCTGTAATGGTAATGGATAATATTTTATATAATATAATATTTTAAATGGTCAATATACAGTTTCGTACAATAATTTTTAGTTACAGGCAAAAAGGTTGCGCAATGTAAAAAAATTCTTATCTGTGTGTTATAGTAAAAATAGAATATTGTTAATTATTACCCAACTCTTACTTTACTATTTACGCTCCTTGCATTCTTTTAATCCTTAAATCTCAAAAAATAATGTTTCAAAACTAATTATTGACCAGTCAAACTTTTAGCCAACTGTTTTATACTTGATAGTAAAGGTAAAACATAATAAACGACAACCAAGTTATTTAAAAAATACTCTTGTAATAAAAAATTGACTTGGTTTTAGGAATATTGATAAAAAATATGACAATATTTGGAAGTAGAGCATTAGCCTGACATATAAATATAAAATTCTTGAAACTTAACTCGTATATTTATTTAGACTATCATTTAAAATGTGTTTATATTTTTAGTTTGTAATGATGTACTTACACATGCTCGCAAAGGAAAGACTGTAATGAAAGATGTAGATAGATATCAAGCAGTTAGTCACAGTAGATATGTAGATGAAGTATTAACAGATGCTCCCTGGGAAATAACTGATGAATTTTTGGAAAAGAATAAAGTGAGCGAATTATGATTTTCTTAAATTTTTATTTGTATCAATTACCTTATTTTGGAGAAAAATGCTTAATTTAATTATTAAAAATAAAGTTGGATAACTATGGCTTCTCCGTTCTCAAAATTATGCCACTGTATGTATCTAGGTCTGAAGAATAAAAATTATATAAAAATAATATATAAGTCATGAATAATAATTACTGAATAATAATTCATGAATGATTTATTTAATAAATAAAAATCAATGTAAATGATAAGATAGTTCAAAAAACAATTATTAAAAAACTTAAAATACGCACCATACATTTTTTTAAGGGTTATGAAATAAATCTTTTTCAAGTGATATTTTATATTGAAGTACATAAACTATTCTGTTTTTCTATTTTCTAAATTTTCATATCCTTATACATAGATTTAGAAAACTGGTTCACTACCATATCGATGAATTCATAAAATTTCACAACTTATTGCTAAAAAATTTAATAATAATACAGTAGAACTCCAATTATCCGAATTAATGGGGACCGGGACCCATTCACTGACTAATCAAAATAAACAATGACAGGTGACTGCAATGCGCCGGAACTGGAGTGGGAACTCTTACCACGTGTTGTGCCTACACTGACGCCGCGGACTTTGGACAAATTTTTTTCTGATTTTTTCTGAAAGTGATTCGGATAATCGGCGATTCGGATGATCGGAGTTCGGATAATTGGAGTTCTACTGTAATTTTATGGTAGAATAACTGTCATAACTGTTTTTACAAAATATTTTTACAGTGACTTAAGTGAAATTTTAATGAAAATTTTATTATTAGATTGATTTTGTTGCTCACGATGATGTTCCTTACCTTAATGAAAATGGTGTAGATATTTATCAGTTGTTGAAAGATAGAGATATGTTTTATGGTACTCAGAGAACGGAAGGTGTATCAACATCAGACCTTATTTCCAGTATTGTTCGTGATTATGATGATTATGTTAAACGAAATTTAAAACGAGGATATAATCGTAAGGATATGAATGTTTCATTTGTAAAGGTATAGATAATATTCAATAAAAAAGTTGATTTATTATAAAATCTATAAATTAAATCTAGGCTAATTCAATAAAATTAAAAGGAAAAATTGATGAAATAAAAATTGCCGTCAATGAAAAAAAAGAAGACATGCTTCATATGTGGGAAGACGTATCTAAAGAGTTTATGGAACAATTTATTCATTTATTTGGTAGAGACGGTCAAGTTGTAAGTTTTTTTTCTTCAAGATGAAATATAAATTAATATAATATATATTGACGTTCTCAATATTTTGCTTTAGACGAATTATTTTAATGATAGAAAAGGAAAAATTCTCCGATCAATACCTTCACCTGAAAAATTTAAAAAGTTACTGCATTTAAAAGAACTAATAATCACAAGTTCAGATTCCGAGTCACATACAGAATCGGAAACAGAATCGGAAACAGAATCGCAAACAGAATCGGAAACAGAATCGCAAACAGAATCGGAAACAGAATTGCAAACTGAATCGGAAACAGAATGGCAAACAATATCGCAAACTGAATCGGACACAGAATCACAAACTGAATCTGAAATAGAATGGCAAACCAAATCACAAATTGAATCAAAACTAAAAAGTTCAGAAGAATACTATGATGCTTTCAGTTCATTTGAAAAAATTTAAAGGTAAAATATTGTGTATTTTGGCTGAATGAGAAAATGTTAACAAATGAAATGACTTTTTAATTATTTTTAAATTTTAAATTCATTAAAAGTAACTTTCACAGAATTAAGGTTAGTTTTAAAAGTGATATAAGGAAGTGTACAATTTTTTCTATTCTTTGATTTATGATATTACCTAATAAAGACATATTCAATTTTGAAAGCTACTGAGAATAATTTCTTAAATAATTATCAATTATCTTAGTATCAAATGGTAATATTTGTATCATTAGCATCTAACATTCTTCAGAATTTAAGTATTTTTAGGTCTGCACTAATAAATGACAATTTATTTCGTATTCTAAATTTGAAATTATTGCGTCCAGTCATTTTTTTTTACGACAGCCATATACTTAAATTAAATCTTTACTATAATTTTAGAAAGCCGTTTACAACAAAGATATTTTTAAATTTTTTTTTTTTAAATAAAAAAATTCCAATAATAAAACGAGAAATTGTACAAATTAATATAAAATTGTATAATTAAATGATTGCGAAAATAGACTCATTTATCTTATACATATGAGAATCAAAATCATTACATTAATTGTTTTGAAAAGACATTTTTTGTTATGTTACAGTACTGCTGAAAATTAAAAAAAAACAAATTTGTTAAACTCAAAATACAAAAACAGAATCAGAATTTTTTTTTTGTTATGGAAGGATAATCATAGAATTTTTACATCTTTTTATTTATTAAAATAAATAGACTATAAGATATTTTTTTTTTTTTTTTAATACTTGTGGCTTGACAAATATAATATAAAATAATTGAATAAAACAATTTTTTAACTTGATAAAATCATTGTAATTTATTTTCAAAGTAGTCTATATTATCCTAAATTTTACATATCTGACAGCAGTAAAGTCACAGGTTCAAAAGATAAATAACAAGAATACTTATATATTACTTACTAACTATATAAAGGGTTATTTTTAATTTTAAACTCTAATCAGTTTTATTTAAGGCAATAAAGTAGTGTCAATTATAAAAAATCTTGTAGTTGTTTTATTAATTTTTTTTCTTTAATATACAGTAGAAGTGAATTATCACTATATGGGTTTGGCTAAAGGTTAAAGAGGTACCAGGAAATTCTTAGAACGATTTACTTTTTTCAAATTAAAAGTATTAACTTTTTTTTTATGTTTCTTTCACAACAGAATAGAAAAGTTACGCACGCTAAATATACGTTAGTTATTACATCACCTAATTTTAATAAAAATGGTGTTATTAACGGTTTAGGTTTTACATACTAGTGCCATGCCTACCTCAGTCATATTTAATTATAACCATATTAGATTTGTTAATAATACATGTTTAAGTAGTTGATCAAACACTGTAGAAACATCTGTAATTACAAACTTCTTCGTTTTTACTAAAATTTTCAATTATTTATCTAGTAATCTGAATGAAAAATGTATTTTAAATTATTTTGTTTTTTCTTATAAAAACGAGGAGAAAATTATTACAGCAGTGGTCAAAATTATAAGACGCTCCCAAATATTACTTGGGATTATATTATATGTATAATATTATAATTACGCGTTTAGATTTTGGTTTGTATGAGGTCGTAAAGGTTTAAATCATCATGTAAATGCATGCAACTTTTTTCTTTACATAATGTGTTCATAAACTTAAATTAATTTGCATTAGTTTCATTTGCAACTTAATTTTTACTTACATGTTCGTTAAAAATGTTATACATGCAAATACAGCAAATTTCAGACATTAAATCATTTTAAAGGCTTTTTAAAATTTTTTTACTAACATCCGATTGCGTAATTTTTTTTCTACGTGTTATTTGGATAATTAAGTTTGAAAAAAAAAAATTTCAAGTCGATCCAGTTAAAAATATTCAAACCACAGGCAAATTATGAGAATTTTTAAGGAACGTAAAATTAGCTATTTTTGGTGTTTTTTTAATAATAATGATAAGCAAGATTTAATAATTGTATTTCTATTACATTTGTCAGGTACTTTAATTTATTTACTTTTTCTGTAAATATATATATTGGTCATTGTTATATTTATAATGACATTTATTTTCGTCTGTTCCGTTATCTTCGAACGACATACGGGTGACAATTGTTGAATCGGAGGAGGAATGGGTTCAACAACAGACAAGGATGAAAAATCGCTCTTAGTTGAAATGGGAAGGTGCCATGACGTTTATCAAATCATAATTAGAGATGACCAATACAGTAAGGACCAGAGGGTGATAAGCAGCTAATGATTTACGCCCATTGATCGGGTTGGCGATGAGGCGATTTTCGAGTTAATACGGAAATTTGTCCAGTCTAATGAATTTTCTTATAATGTGGCTATTGAAGTTTGGTCAATGTATTATGAAGTTCGAGCGCAAGCTGAGCAGATTTACTGTTAATGAGACTGGTAGCGATAAAGCAAATCAATCAGGTTGAATCAAAAGATTCAAGTATTTGTAGAAATCAGACACATGATGCTGGTCAATTCACCCTATAGATCACTTAAGTCTTAAGTCATGGCAACTTGGTCATAGATGTTCACCTGGGACGTGTCGTTTCAGTTAAGACAGCCGACGAATTCCCGCGGTACAGTTGTAAAGTTTATAAAACTTCCAGTGTAACCTTTTTACCTCCTTATCTCCGTTGTTTTTATTAGCAGCATGGTACAATTATTTATTTTATGTTGTTTCTTCTGTTGTTTATTTTTTAATTATTCCGTATTTTGATTTAAAAAAAAAGTAAAAGGAGATTGTGGGGTGTCATAAAATAAAGTTGTTAGAGCCACTTTAACTTTAGGTCAACTTAACATTATAAATATATATTAAGTGTATATAGGGTTTTAATGTTTCAATTAATACTCTGATTCAGAAGACCATTGAACAATATATTCGAAAGATCTTCAAAAATTATAAATGTCCTATATAAATCAAACTTGTATTGAAAAAAAAAAAAATTAAAATAGATTATTTTTAAAAAAAGCCTAGAACATTCCATACAATTTGATTATTTATACATTATTGTATGTTAGGATGCATGTTATTTTACGAATTTCTGAATTCTTCCAATGTGCAGTTAATTATTTTATATCAACTAGTAAAAAATTAACTGATTTATTTTAATATCTTCTGAAACCATCGATTCTTGTTATTGTATTCTAATTGTGTTTTCATTGCATAACTAATAATTTAAGGATATTAACTAATAAAATATAATTCTTCTACTATAATAGAAGCGTATTAAGGGAGCTTATGACAATGACCACAGGCAGGACATTTTAAGGAGCATACATTTTTAGTCAAAGATATTTGTATAAATTAAAATTCGAGTAAGTGAAAATTTTATAGGTCTAAAAAATATAAATATATTATACACCCTAGACAGCAAAAACTTACGCTTCTGTATACTGTAGGTAAAAGACACTACATCCATTATTTATAAAATAATTTTAGCTCTTTGTCCTTGTTGTACATTTTTTGCTCTATGTATATTTTCTACGAAAATACGACGGAATGAAATAGAATCATGTCCATCTTTTTTAACAGAAAATAAAAATAATTTGTACAATTGAAAAATTATAATTTTATTATATGGTGTCCTCAACCTCCAGAACGCAGACTTATTAAATATAACTTTCATAGTTATCCACAATGTTTTGACAACTATTGTAACATTTGAACAAACTAAAATATTTGAATAAATTTTTGCAAACCATAAATAAATTGAAAACTATAGGCAACTAATAAAAAAACATAATTTGAAAATGAATACATACGTTTTTACATATTTATATAATATTTGATGTTAGATCTAATATTTTGTATTATAAAAATGAGGTAATAGAAATTTAAAACGCTAAAAAGCTATAACAATGCAAAATTTAGGAAGCCATAAAAATGCAGAGATAAAGAAACCATAGAAATGGATAAAAAAAATAAGATGCCATAAAAATGCTGAAATGAAGAAGCCATAGAAATGCTGAAATGAAGAAACCATAAAAGTGCTGAAATAAAGAAGCCATAGAAATGTAAAAAAAATAAGATGCTATAAAAATGTAAACAATTAAGAAGTAATAAAAATGCAGAAATGAAGAAGCCATAGAAATATAAAAAGTAAAGAGGTAAAAGAATGAGGTAAAATGAGGTAATAGAAATTTAAAACACTAAAAAGCTATAACAATGCAAAATTTAGGAAGCCATAAAAATGCAGAAATAAAGAAGCAATAGAAATGTAACAAATAAAGAAGCTATAAAAATGCATAATAGCAAGAAGTTGTATAAATTAATACAAAATGTTTTTTAATTTCTAAGACTTCATAATTTTGCTTGTGCTTTTATAGCTTTTTAATGTTTTTGTTTCTATATTTATATAGCTTCGTAAATTTTTGAATTTCTGTGGTTTCGTAATGTTTTAGTTAAATTGTAGATATATAAATGAATAGATCCGAATAAATGAACTTCATATATTCCTGGATTTAATAAATTTGACATTACATATTTTACTAAACAATTTTATTTATATTGCTTAAAGTTTATGTGAAATCTAACATAAGTAAAGCTAACTGGTGATAACTTATGTAATTATAAGTGATATTACTATTAATCTTGTTACAAACATTGGTCTGTCGATTTATGTTTAAAAAGAACTATAAAATCCGTCAAATCTTTTTAATGTTGATGAACAATATACTAATAAATTTCAAAAATATAAAAATCCAACTTATACAATTTTAAATATTCTTCTAAAAAAATTTCTCAAAAACTAGTGGAATCAATGACTTTTTTCATAATTAGATAATAATGAATTATTGTCGAAAAATCAATTTGGTTTTCAACCTGTCGTGAGTACCACAAATGCTCTTCATATATATAATAAAGATTTCATACAATTTTGATTATTAGATGAATGTGTATAATAATAAAAAATATTATATTAATAAATATAATTTAATTAGTAATTACATGTAAATTTTAGTTTTTATTTTATTATTTGTATACATCATTGTAATTAATTTGCTTTATTTAAAGTTATGCTTATAGTGCATAAATAATTCGGTTTGATCAATTTGTATTAGTACATAATTTATTATACTATAAATATTATTCATCATTGTATTGTACTAATTTAATTCGAATAAAAAACAAAAATCGTTGTATGGACATATTATTTGATATTATATATTTGACATATATATTGGATTAGTCTCAATTTTTCATAAATTATTTTTTTACTAGTTTTTTTTTAAAAGTGCGGATCCTCGAACAAATTCAAAAAATTATAAAATATATAAAAATTACGTCTATTGTTAATTTCTGATTGAGATTTTAAAACTATGAAGTTGGTATTTGATGGAATTTTTAAAACTGTTTTTAGCCTTCATCATTTGCCAATATATAATTGTAACCTCATATATATTTTACTCCTCTTTCAGTAACATAATTAACAACTATTAAAAAAAATGATCAGTTTTACACCCTTCTGTTTTTACTTTTGTATACAAATATTTCCTAAAACATTATTTTCACGTAACTTAAGTTTAAATGGCTTTTGACATCCACTTCGCATGATTAAAAGTAGTAAGGTAACGAAAAGTTATACCATTTGGGGTTGATGCGCCTAAATATATTATCATGAGCTCGAAAAGTCCTTTAATATCATATCCACATAGTTGGACTTTTAATATTTCCGTTCACAATTAATATTATAAATCTCTTCCATTTATAGTTATTACTTTTATGATAATTTTATTGTTATTTAAAGTCCACTAAATTGATGATAAC